ACAGCCACAGCCTGTTTACCCTGCCGCCATCTGGCAAGTGAAACACAAGTATCCGCTGCCGAAACACCAGACTTCGGAGCGGTTTCTATCCCCGTGCTTTGAGACTGCTGAATTCACCTCCCACACTTCAATACGGAAATAGTCTTTTTTTTTAAACAACTTAATTAATAATTCAGTTATCTTTATTTTCATCTGTGTGTAGCAAATCAAAAATGTCTTATACAATCTATCTTCGTGTAAAGATCATTAAGGAAATCTTGAACTTGAATCTGCTTCCTTTGCTGCTACATCAAGGCTTTTTTGTACTGCATTACATTCAGATTTTTTTTGTTATTCCAAATGTCGCCCTCAGATTGCTCAATTATGGAGTGTTTCCATCCTTCAATAATATGCGTACGTATTTAATTTTATCAAGTTAAAGTTGTTTCCCTTTCAACACGGTGGGGACTCAAATCCCAGCAGATAACTTCCTCTAGCTCTGTGTGTACGCAGGGATGTCAGTGTGCAGGTATACAGCTGCCTGAATTGGACTTAACTGAGTTAAGCCCTGTACGTGGGACTGAGTGATCTCCTTTGCACCTCAGCTGCTGTCGTGCAGTTTTCTGTGTGCCACAGATAATCAATCCAGGCTGTTTGCTTTGTAAGCTCATATCTCCACTGGAGGACTGCTCTCTCTGCATAGCTTCACATGTGACGGCTCCTCCTCGGAGCCCATTTGGCGTTAACGTTGTGTCACTTTTAACTTGCACCCATCTTTGCACTCGGTGATGTGCAGAGCCACAAGCTGTCGCCCTCTTCAGCGGGGCTTGGTGGGTGTACTGCAGTGCCTTGCCCTGTTCTGCCACTCAGTTCTACTGTAATGCAGTTTGCAAGACAACTGCCATGAGCTATCAACTCACAGAGCGCACTTCTCCTTACTGAACAACCTGCCACTTCCCCACAAACATTACAGCTGAGATCAGTAAAAGAAAAACACGTCCACGTCGCTGTCTCAGCTGCGACTAATCTGTAGAGCTACCTCAAGCCAGAATCATATCCCCCCATCTGAGCAGCAGACCAACTTGGACTACAGTCGTCTGTTGTGTCTCGTGGATGCCATCCTCCTTCCTCTCAGTCACACCCTGACCTTCCACTTGGCAAAAGAAGTGTCTTAGTTGGTCTGGTGTAAACCTTTTATGCATTTAATGCTATATATATATATGTGTGTGTGTGTGTGTGTGTGAAAGAGGGTGTTGGGGGGGTGCAGTCCTTCTGAGTCATAGCAACCCCCTTATACTCTTGTTCCCATGGTTACCGAACCCCTGAAACTCCCCTATTTCATCCCCTCAGTTTGCTGCCTACACGGTTTAGGCCTCAGCAGCCGGTGCGTGTGTGGGTAAGTGTGTGTAGAGAGCTGGCCTTAATAAGCAAAATGTGATATGACACATAAGTGCATTTTTTACAAGTATTAACAGCTGCACAGGCAGTCACAAGATGCTTCTGAGTGTGTGAAAGGGTGAGGTAGTGTGTTAGATGCTTTGAGGAAACTAACATAGTGTGTGTGTTATATGTTTTTATGTTACTGTTTCAAAGTTAACGATCTCAGAGAATTGGGTAAAAGATATTTTGCCATATTACAGTCTTCAGTATGCCGTGCATTTCGACTTATTTATATCTTGACATCTGAGTGCTTCCTGTCAGTGCACAGCACAGGCATGTTTTTTTTTTCAAGATTTCTTTAATGGGGTGGTGAGAACAAAAAGCCTCAAAAACCTCAAACAAAACCCTTCAGTGGATATACATTACAAGGATGTAACAGTATGGCACTGAAGTATACGAGTCATCAAGGTTATGTAGCTTATAAGATTCAGTCATGTTTAAATCTGTTGAGTGGTAGAACTTCCTGTGTTGTACCAACTTTACCTTTGGAAACTGTGTAAGGTGGGCAGTGGACCAAACAGCTGTGATACATATTAGTTTCCAGAACTGGGTAATATATAATTTATATAGTTTTTGTCTAATTAGCACATTAAGTGAGTAAAGTAAAGCTTACTTGTAAAGCACTTTTGATGGACACCAAGAGAAAAAAACAAACAATAAAACCAATAATTTTTTAAAATCAGCTTTTAACAACTTATCTGAATCAATGAAACAAAGAGATGAGAAGAATTTGTAATACAGTTTGGAGCTACGGCCCCAAAGGCCCAATCTCTGTGTTTGTTTTAAAATGAGTACGATGCACCAGCAGTAACCTCTGCTCCGAAGACTAAAGGGATCAGCTGGAAGAGTAGACCAATAAAAGCTCTGAGATATACTGAGGTCCTCACCATTCAGAGCTTTAAAGGTTAAAGCAGTAGGTTTAAAAGTAACTCTAAAGCTGACAGGAAGCTCCGATCTTAAAATCTGAAGGATCTTAGGTTTCGTGTTTATTTTATCTTATATGCCGTTGCTTTACATTGTTTTGATATGTTATATTTTAATTTTTTGTGTTTTATTGTGAAGCACTGTTTGATTTTTTGCTGTGCCATATAGGGAAGTTTTACTTACTTACTTTTAGATTTTGTCCAATTAGCACAAGAGGTTTGGTAGGACACAATTTTGTTAGAGGCTGCAGGAATTTTTTTTCTCCACTTCCCTCTTGCTCAAATTAAAACACCCCCACTGACTCAAAGGAAATAATTACTGTCTTCGAGTTACTTTTGAGTCATCTGCAGGAGGGTTCATCTGAAGTGTTTACAGGACACCGAGCAGAACTGTGCGGGAACTTTTTGACCATTTTTATACCCACAAGGAAGAACTTGCAAGCCAAAGTAAAGGTCTAAAAAAAGCGAAGAACACTAACTTAAAGTGTGTGCGTGGTTTTTTTTTCGCCTCACTTTTGGCTATTGTGGCTGGATGGGTCATGCTGACTTTTTACTCTCCACTTCTTTTGGGAAATAAGTAGTCTCAGCTTTCGGTCATTTTTACATGACTCATTTTAAACATTTAGTGAGTATAGACATAAAAACAGATATTAGCTGCCTTGAACAGCCAGTGTCCTGATTGCAATGGGGATATCTATTTTGGGGCACTAGACCTAATCAGGCTACATATTCATCTGTGTGGGGGTTTGTTTGTGAGTGTGAAGCTGTAGATTGCTCTCCTTCTGGTGTATGCGTGCTGAAGGAGTCGCAGGAAACAAGATATCGTGATTTGAAATTATTTTATTTAGGAGATTTAACAAGATCTTGTGAAGCAAAACACCAAACTGTTGTCTTGTAAGATGTTTTTCATGTTTGCATCTTGGTTTCCATTCATCTTAGCTTCTCATGTGCAGACCAGTGATTTTTGGTTATAGTGGCCACTGATTTTTACTGTTTCAACATTATTTTAGGCCACAAGCTGTCTCTTATAGTAATATCTATGTGTAAAATCACTCTTTCTATCCAATTCCTGTCCAAGACCTATCCAAAGAAGGAGAGTGGAAAGCTACGTCCAGATAGGTTAAAATTAGCCAAAAGTGTAATTTAAAATGCTTAAATGTGGCGTATTTGCGAAAAGCTATTTCAGCATATGTAAAAACGAAATATGCAACGTTTTCTGCACTTTCTGTAAAAAGTGTTTACCGAGAAATAATGCTGCGTTTTCAGTTTGTGGTGTCGCTATGTGGTAAGCCACGTACATGCAACGTGCGAGTGAGAGCGCTTTATATTTTTTATTCTGGCTTTTATGTTCCTGACAGTGAGTAGATAGTGACAGATGTGTTCGACATTTCCTGAATAAATTTTGTTTGTTTGTGAGGTATTTGTGGCGAGGACAGGTGGCCCGCACAAACAGTTTGTGTCGGCAGAAAAGCAGCGAGTGGCAAAGGAAAGGATGATAAAGGGGATAAACAATGCAGGTTTTTAAAATGCAAAAGCAGCTCGATTTGCATTCGGTGTTTCAGAAGCACACACACACACACTTTGGTTTGTTAACAACTAAATGCTACAGGACACCTTTAATTGGTGAGTCCCTTTTTTCCCCTCCCAGGGAATGAACAAGTGTTTTGGAGTCAAATTCAAAGATTTGTGTTCTGCTTTCACTTTCAATTAATAAAGAAAACCTTGATAATCATCGAAATGACTGGAGCAGAGACAAATTATAGAACAGTGTGGTGTCTCTGCAGTGTGATTTGATCTTCAACTCTCTCTTTTGCCCTCTGCACACAGTGGAAGCCGTGGTGGAGTTTGATTATGAGGCTCAGCAGGACGATGAGTTGAGCCTGACGGCGGGTGACATCATCGTGAACATACGGCGAGATGAAGGAGGATGGTGGGAGGGCGAGCTGGGTGGACGCAGGGGGCTGTTCCCCGATAACTTTGTCAGGGTGAGTAACTGCAAACAGTCCCCGCCACCTAGATGTCTTCTTCCCTCATCCTGAAAGACTTTGGAAACCCACATGAGACCCTCCACCAATAGCAGCGGAGCAGACATGTAGCTGTGGCTGGTTTTGGGTGTTTGTTTGTGTTGCTATTTTTGGGCAGTTGAACACACACTCGACATTTCTGCAACATTATACTCTTTGTAAAGTGAAGTAATCTAAAATTAGACATAAGGTTAGGTCAAGCTAAGAAATAAGATGGAGCGTGTGGTTAGAATTTGCTTCTACCTTATATTTAGAAAACAATAATATTGGTTTCACATACAAAATACTGAGTGATGACAAATGAACAGGAAAACCAGCAGAAAATGTCTCAACAAAGGATTTTCGGGATGGCGGTGGAGTGCAGATCTGCTTAGCGTATGAGTCACATCATTTTTCATACTCACCATCAAACCATTCAGCTAACACTCATTCTCACCACTGAAGCGGAAGCAGTGAAATAAATGTAATTCATCCCCAGACTGAATGTCAAAAAATAGCATGCAGGGAGTGTCTGTTGTTTGGATTAAACCAGTAAACTTTTGCAACTGTTCTGTAATCCCTAAGTGTTACTTCACAGATTGCGTTGTTATCTGCAACAGACAATGCAATCAGAAAAGCAGAGGAAGTAATAAAGTAACATAAATCAAGATCTCTTGCAGCTGACACTTTGAACCTATATCATTTCTTCATTCATCTTCATCTAATATATTCACTTCCATTCAGGTGTTTACAAACACACATTTCAGTCTTGTGATATTTGCCTCTGAGCTCAAGTGGCCCCAGTAAGCGTTGGCTTCACTCAGTGTTTGGAGAAATTTGAATGGCCTAAAAGTCATCATCCACTTTGGTTTGTAGGATTTCTCTCAAGATGTTCACGATGATATATGGCCTCCTCTGGCTTCTCCGCTTGGATTGCACAAATCCGGATCTGTTGTTAGGAAATTCTCTCCATTCCTTGAATCCCTCCAGCTTGCAGATGTGCAGTGGTCATTAGTTGTTACTGCCTCAGATGAACCAGCATGTCCCAGGTGTATTTAGTAGGAGGCATATTAGGATTAAATTCTGGCCAGGGAATGACTGTGCTACTCTGGCAGTGTGTGTGTAGGCAGTGTAGGAATGTTTGGGTCTGGGAATGTGCTCTGATGGGCAATCATGCCAGCATCCAACACACTTTAGTCTTCTTCAGTCAGTCGTAGCTTGGTGGCAGTGATAACAATGTTGTGCATGCAGTGTTTTCTGGTAATAGTAAATTTAAAGAGAGTTTCTTTGTGTTTGGTTTACAATTACCAATCTTCCCCCATTGATTAAAACTAATTAACTGGAGTTGGGGATTGAAGTGATGTACTGAGAAATGGATTTAAATGGTAAATGGCCTGTATTTGTATAGAGCTTTACTTGGTCCCTAAGGGCCCCAAAGCGCTTTACACGTTCAGTCATTCACCCATTCACACACTGATGATGGCAAGCTACATTGTAGCCACAGCCACCCTGGGGCGCACTGACAGAGGCAAGGCTGCCAGACACTGGCACCACCGGGCCCTCTGACCACCACCAGTAGGCAACGGGTGAAGTGTCTTGCCCAAGGACACAATGGCCGAGACTGTCCGAGCCGGGGCTTGAACCGGCAACCTTCCGATTACAAGACAAACTGCCACTCTTGAGCCACAATCGCCCATTTAAAACAAAGTAACAGTAAAACTGTTTAGTTGTTTACTGTTATTGAGAGTTAAAATGATTAGTTAACGAATGAATTAGACTTTTATTGTAAAAGTTATTTAAAAATAGTTTAAAAAGTTACTGATGTTATTCTGTTCTCTTATTGTCTGATTGATGACAGGCAGCTGATATGTTAGACACAGCTCAGCCACTAGCAGCAGAGCTTCCAGGTCTACCCAACAACCACAATGGGGTCTGAGAGGGTAGTTGAAAGCAAAATGGCAAGCTATGCGTATGATTCAGTGTAGCGTGGCCACAGAGGTCAGGTTTCACGGTTACAAATATCTTCAGACCTCACCAGGTTGAAAGTGAGAAAGTTTATTGGCGATCACAAAGTTCCCCTGGCGCAACAAATCAAATAAATTCAAGTATCTCAAAAATGTGAATGTCAGGTTTTCATTTATGATGGTAAAGCTTTCTGTTTTGCAACCACTGCTCGGATGAAACAAGGCAGCTGAAGATATTGCTTTGGACATTCTCACTGTCTAGAACAACAAATATTTGTCAGAAAACTTTTAAAAGACTAGCGTCATCTGCTTTTTCTGTGGTGGAAAATGTGCCTGCGAGCCAGCTTCTGCTCCGAGGTCTTCTACTTTGAGTTTGTTGGCTCGGTGATTGGAATAGATTGAACACAGTTGTAGGTATATGATTCAGGAATGAGGAAATTCTCACAAAAAGTTTCTGGTGTGTAAAATAGTCAGTGTGTGGTGACAATAAGAAGGAAGTACCTTGCTTACAGTCTCATGAGAGGAAGTAGAAAAGTGCTACAAACCAAGGGTAACAGGACTCAGCAAAGAAGTGCATCTATTGTCAGGCTGTTCTCTGTGCAGTCAGGCTTCATTTGTGCTGACTGAACGTCAGCGCTCGCATTCACTGTCAGAGAGCCGGACAATGGGCCTCCAGAGGCTTCGCGTGGATGTTGTGTGTGTGTGTTTGAGAGAGTGTGACAGAGTGAGGCTGTGAGTAATCCAGTAATACCAAACTGGTCTGTCACAAGACTGCAGTTATGGGAATAAGTGACTCTAAGCTTTGCCATGTGGAGGAATGTGTGTGTATGTGAAGATCTGTGTGTAAGGAAGTGGAGGATGTGGACACACAGGTTTAAGAGCAGTGACAGGAAGTAATTGTATGCACGCGTCATTGCGGCTGACAACAACCGGGAAAGATAACTCACTGTAATCCTGATTTTTGCGTTTTTCAGCTTTGGATGTTTTTGTCTGGCTCGGCTCAGGCTAACACACTCTATATTCTGAAACTTGTTAATGGAGTTGAATTCTTTAGATGATATTAATAATAATGGCTCAGTTGCATTTTCTTTTTAGATTTATCTTCTTTTTGCTGCAGCCTTTTCCCTCCAAGAAAACAAGTCGTTGATATCCTCATCATCAACATCCTCACAGACTCTTAGCAGAGGTGGAGGACATCCTGTTTATGGGAAATGCTGTAGCCGTGTGACCTCTGTTCATTGGACAGGCACATATTGAAAATCAGTATCACATGCTCTGATCTGACATGAAAGGCTTTGGGAGTGAAAGTGAATGTTTGTCTTTCCAGCATTTACTTTAGACAGAGAAGACATTAACGCCCAGACTTTTAGTAATAAAATGAACGTTGCATGTGTTTAAGCATTGTATGACATGATTACTAATTACTCTACTGCTTAGTCAGAAAAAACATGAAAATACCGTCCTGTGAAACACTAAGAACATCCTTATTGCTTCGATAGGAATTAAAAGCCATGTGCTGCTGTTCAAATGCATTTGAATAAGTGATCATCAACTAGGTGACCACCTATGGAGAACTCAAGTGTGTGTTAACACAATGCTACCAGGGGTGAACATCGCAGAAGTGTCACCCGAAGGTCAGACCTTGGGGTCAGATTAATGTTCAGTGTGTTTGACCAGCTGTCAAGCACAGTGGTGGACAGGTACAGGATATGCAAACCCTCCAGTCATTGAGTCGACCATGAACTCTTCTTTATCTTCTATATAGTCAAATGTGAGGCCATCTGTCCAACAGCTAAGGTGGCATGCTTCAAGTCAAGTCAAAATTTATTTCTATAGCACATTTAAAAGACTAGCGTACATCAAAGTGCTTCACAATAAAACCGCAATGGGGGCAGAACAAGGAACAAATAGTACAGTTACAATTAAAATTACCTTACATGGTGTAGTGCAGGCCGAATGAAAGTCAAACTTATTTGCTTCAAAAGCTAAGTTGAACAGGTGTGTTTTTAAGCGTGATTTGAACAATAGATGATGTGTGATTATTCCAGAGTCTAGGGGTGGCAATGGCAAAAGCATAGTCACCTCTGGTTTTTAAACAAGACTTTGGTTGCATTCGGAGCAGCTGGCTGGAGGATTTTAGTGCTCTCTTTGGGTTGTACAGATCAAGGAGATCAGTTAGGTAGCTAGGGGCCAGGTTATTTAGAATTTTAAAAGTGAGCAGAAGGATTTTGAAATCAATGCGATATTTGACGGACAGCCAGTGTAAGTTAGCGAGGATAGGGGTGATGTACTCATGCCTTCTAGTGCCGGTTAAGAGGCGTGCTGCTGCATTTTTGGACTAATTGTAGGTGCTTGACTTTTATCCTTAGCATAATAAAGTGTTCTTAAGCTTAAGGGGGTTTCAGATATTTCTGAAGTGACTATTTCATTCTGACCCCTGGACAGAGTTGTGAAATAAGGACAGAGTGTATAAAGCAAGGGAAAATATAATTTTGCACCACTCTTCTGCTTCTCATTTCACAATAATTTTACAAGCACTAGCTCTGTTTCCCCATTCCTCCCTCCTCTGTACATCAGACTGTTCTGAACACCCACTAAGCAGCGGGTGCTTCAGTGCATTGTTTTATATTATCTGTGAAGAGAAAAGGTCAGAGGTCTGGTAATAGGGGACACACACAGCAGTGTTGAGCATTCAAACACTTCAGGGTAAAACACATAGCTGCCGTAAGGCTTTTAAACATTACCAACTAACACACGCAAACACAGTAGTGTACATTGTGCAGGTGTTTCCTGTTCAGATATGATGAATCACGCTCTCTTCCTCTTTTCAGATGGATTTCCTTTTTCTCTGGGTTACCTCCATATCCCCCAGGACAAAATTGCAGTCGCGCATGAATGGAGTCATAAAAAAAGACAAACAGGAGAGTTAGCTTTTTCCAGGATTTCCATCTCCAAACATAATGATTATCTAAACAATGACCCTGAATTTAAAAAAAAAAAGACATTTTCTATTTTTGTTTAATCCCTTTATAGCATTTCATGAAGCTGCTAGTAGCTGCTAGAAGCTGCTCTCTCTCCTTTCACATATATACCAAATAGAAGCTGTAGGCTAAAGAATGCCTGCTGTGGGTTTTTGCGTAGGTTGGCTTATGCAGTGTCTCCAGCCTAAGTGTTTTATTTTCACCAGTCAGTCTATGGGCACTCGTGTCTGTGTACGCATGTTTCTGAATGAATATGCGTGAGGGTTTTTTTCCCCTGCAGGACACATAATCTTTAAAATCAGAGGAGGAGGCTGCAGCGCCTGCCCGCAGAATCAATATCTTTTTAAGTGGGTCTACATTAACACTGCATTAGCCTACTTAACAAATGGCAATGTGTTGGCTGTGACTAACTTTTTTTTATTCCAGTGTCTTTAATTTGGTAGTGAGCCACCATAACTCTCTTATTTCACTTCAAACGTTGTTGCTAACTAGGTTTGCTAGCTCAGTGGCTGACGTTAGGCTAGGTGCGATCATGACTGAATGATCACAGCTGATGAAGCCAGGAATTCTACTTTTCTGTTTCTATCCAAATACATCTACTTCACAGGGAATTAAAGCTCCACTTGCAGGGCTAAGCTGAGTGATTTGACAAATTATGCAATGTTAACAACTGAATCTACGATAGAATATCATTGCATATAAATAACGCGGTGCTTTCTCCGTTATGATAAAGTCAAATGATTTTAACTGCTGCCATTTCATTCAGTTTCTATGGCTCTTGTGCAATGAGGAAACTTTTTCTTATTTTTATATTGCATAGATTATCCAAATTAAGCTCTGATAAGAATTTACCCAGGAAACCACAGCGTTATCACCAAGGTCAAATTTGGTTGGAGTATGACAGCAAAAACTGATGTTGATGAAAAGGTCCAGGCGGACAGACCAAGAAATATTGATCTATCGAAGTAATTTGGTCATTAAATTGTCATTAGAAGACAGCCACACTATGTCTTCTCCATATACACGGACTGGTGTTACATTCATCTTTTACTGTTTACTATAAACCACTACAATAATTCCATCTATCCATTTATATTTTATCTACATGGAACTGCTGTCTCATTTGTTTGCTGTTGAACTTAACAGAAAATTCAATACCCTGAGATGGGCATCAAAAAACAAGACAAGCGCAGGGCTGAAATAAGTTCAGAACTACATTTTTCCATATTTATTGTATCACAAAAGGGTTAAATGTTTAAAGCACTATATTCAGTTCACTTTTACTTATATAGTACTAAAATCACAACAGCAGCCACCTCAAGGCACTTTATATTATAAGATAAAGACCCAACAATAATACAGAGAAAACCCCACAATAGTCAAATAACCCCCTTTGCAAGCACTTGGGGAAACTTGGGGAAAAACAAAACACTTCTGCTTGTCACCAGACAATAATGCATTTAGTGGAGACATCTTGTATCACATGTTGGTAGTCACATGATTAAATTACATATACAGTAAAAGATGGATGGAGGTAGTGTGATGTCAGTGATTGGTTTTAGAAGTCCCTTTTTGATTAGTATTTTCATTTCCCCAAAAAAGTGAGGGATGCTGTGAGACCACATACGAACTTGCTTTTAGCCAAGGAGAATTTTTAATGACAATAATTATTCCACATCCATTTATGGCCAAAAATGAGTGATCGAGACTGTAAATTCAGCAGGAAAGTGTTTACAGAGGTCAAAACAAAAAGGCGTTTTCCCATCGTCACCTGGTGGTTTTCAGAAAGCAGGTTTAAGACACTTGTGTGTTTTAGTGTTTTGTTTTGACTATGATCTATGACAAATGGGAAAAAAAATAACCACTCTAATGCTGTAGCATGTGCATTGGTTGTGTATTGTACCACGAAGAACATTTGCAAGTGCTTAGGAAAAGAGAAAGTACAAAAGATAAGTTAAGTGAAAAAGCAAAATGAAAGAAAGATTTAAGAAACACAGGGAAAGAAAATATTTAAGATGTCTTTGAACATTTCTTCTCTGCCATCAGAGGGCATTATTATAAAGCTGTGCTCACTCTGTAGTTCAGCTGAATAAGAAACAGACAGCAGAGCAGGAAGTCTGAGGTTTAACAGCTGCTCCTGAGTTGAATGTCTTATTTATAAAAGGATAATATGAAACAAGTTGATGGACGTTCAAGGAATATGTTGAGCTGACAGTGCACTTACCATAGACAGTATAAAAGATGGATCTAGCCACCATGATGCTACCCACTAGTTTTGGACTTGACATTTTGAAGCTTTAAAGTTACGTAGATGAAAGATGGCTGTGCTAACGTATCAGCTGAACTGTACTCAAACTGCAGGGGTGCCTCACTGAAGCACAAACTCCTTGGATGGTTTGTACAACACAGAAGGACGTGATATTAGTTGATAATCAAGAATTCAAAATAGCACACAGTGAAGAGGTTCAGTTTAATAACTAAAAGTTATTAAAGTTACAGGCATGAAAAATTTAAATTTTTGTGAATATTTGATATGGAAAAAAACTTTATTTAAACACCTTGAGTTCCTATGAATATAAATGCATAGATATATTTAACTTTTGCTGTCTGGAGAACAGTTTTTGTTCAGTACTTCACTTTTTAATTAGCCACTTCCTGTTTAAAGAGAAGCACACAAGCCGCACGCCACTTTTTAATTGGCCTCTAAGCAATGGGGATCCAGAGTCTTTTCTCTGCTGAGTGCTAGATAGTGTTTTATAGTTGGAAAACCAAGACAGAAATCTTCACCACCATTTTCAGTCCCCATCCTATTTCATTTCAAAAATGTCTCTTTTTTTGCCTCAGATAAGCTTCAGCTGTTGTCGAGGAAACATCTTCTCATGTTGATATTTTTGGATCTCAGAGGCTCATTAAGGCTTTCACGCCAAACCAGGCAACGCACACCCAGATTGTGTCTGAGAGGTTGGACTGAGTCAGTGTACCCGGGCCCGTCTGCTTCGCTGAGCTGCGTTCGCCACAGGCCAAAGCTTATGAAACAGTGTCATGATGAATGTGGTGGGGAGATGTGAACCATTGCGTCTAGTTTCCCAGGATCGCTGTGGTTACTGCATCTCCCCGTTTGCCGTCTCCTTGTCTCCTTGATTTTTTTGTCAGTCGGCGTATTGGTCTGCTCGCCTCTCTTCGGCTTATCTGATTAGTTTTGCGTGCTGTCTTGTGATTTGTTATGAGAGTGAAAGTCACAGGGAAAGAGGGGGGGTCTGCCCTTCTTGATGCTACCACAGTAAGAAATATGTCTCCTTCACCTTAGTATGAAACTGGTAATATTTCAATGTGTCAGCCTATGGAGCCATCTACGTGACAGGAAAAAAGTGAAAAAGCGTCATAGTATTATATTTAAATGGCTTTTATTTACTTAGGCAGATTCCAGTTTCTTGTGACACTGCATCTGTCAGTACATTACGTTAACCATTCAATGTTCAAAGCAGAATAGTGAAGAGTTGCAAACCTTGTACCACAAATTGCAGGATATAGCACCCAAAATGCATACACTGAAGGTGGATAGATTTAACAAAAGGCAAGGTGTCCGTAAGCAGTTGCCATAAGTCCATAAGCAAAGAGACAGATATCCAAAAGGCAACTTATTAAATCCCAGAGAGCACTGAGGAAACATGGGGAGACACACAGGCAGGATTCACAGCCACTGTGAGAAAGACTGAAGGGAAGAGAGCACAAGGGTTTGAGTGCAGGAGAGTAACGGTATGCAGCTGAACCTAATTTGGGCAACAGGACAGAGGAGGAAGTAAAACTAAATGCAAGAGGCGAGTGACAAATAACTACTAAAGTAAACCAGGAAATAGATAACAGCTAAAACCAGGAAATGAAGAGACGTGAATGAACTTAAGAGGGGAGAGGACTGAGGCAGTGAATGCATAGAATACTAGTGAACAAATGAAAGTCAACAATAAACAATAAACACAACTTAGCAACAAGAAACCATGAAGCATCTACAAGTTGTGTGTAAAAAAAAGAAAGAAAGAGTGTTTTTGTTCAGTATTTTTTGTTTCTAAACTTTAAGACTTGTTCAAAAATCTAATATAATTCAAGCACGTTTTTCTGTTGAGCACCACAGCGGTAAATCGTGTCTCGTGACGATGTTTCATCCCATAATTTATCCCTAGCAAATGCCCAAGTGACTGTACATGACATCACGGTCTGTTTAAGCTGTTTGTCTTTCCGTTTGAGTGAAGCGACAGTCTGGAATACGTAAAAACACAAATCTATAATAAATTTGATATTTACACTGAATCACAAGCGTTTTTACTTGAGCCAGACTAGGTTGCATCATATTAAGCAAAATTATTGTTGACAAATGGGATTGCTTTTTCTTTTTTGGCTGGGAAAATCTGTAATTATGTTTTTTTTTAAAGCTGGCATTTAGACAAAGATGCTTTAATACTGTCATTTATTAAATCCTGGCTGGTCTTATTTTTATCATATATGTCTCTGCAACCTACATTTCTCTAACCTGTGCTCCTCTCTCTATAGGAGATAAAGAAGGAGGGGAAGAGGGATGGAGGACAGGCAAGCACAATCAGACCTGACCTCGCCAACGGCAGTGCTAGCCCCGTGCTGGACTCCACCGTACGACCAGGCAGGAAAGGTACTCGGCTCTGTCTCCTACATTCATACACTGTGGTCATTCAGTAGCTTTAAGGCTTCAGGCCTAAATATAGATCCTGTTAATGTGAGGAAGGATTTGGGTCAAGCACTGCTGAGCATGTATACACATACTAGACAGTCACTATATGCTCCAGGGTAGTATGTGTGCATCTATATTGGAGTCACTGGATAGGTAATTAGCCTATTAGTGTCATGGACGGATTACTTTGTTTGGCAATCAATTAAATTTTTAGTGACTTGCAAATTAGACTAAAGGAGCAAATTTTTGCCAAAGGAAAATTAAAACATGCATTCAGAAATTGTTATGCTCTGGAGTTCCATTCATAAGATAGAGCCAAAAGATGCAGGATAAAGGGAGGCAGGTAAACGTTTTGACAGAATTACATGAACGAATGAACAAAAGGCACTGGTGTGCACAAGCAGGATTATCCAAACAGAATTCCAAACAAGGCCAGGTGTCAGGGAAAAAAATCCAAATTCAGGCAATTTGTCCAGGCACGAGAAAACTGACAGAGGACACACAGACAGGCAAGGAAGGTGGTGGATAAACTCAACAAACTAACAAACAACAAGGAGATCAGGAGGGCTGTAAATACAGAAAACTAAGTGAACACAGGTGAAGCTAATGAGAGTGAAGCTGGCAATACTGAGTGTAAGAAAATAACAAAGAGGGGAAGTAAGACACCAGGGATACACAGGGATACTCTTACTTCCCGTCCTATTTTAAAGAATTATATAATTGTTGAAAATAAGACGGGAAGTAAGAGTAAGCATCACACAAAAACCACAGTGATAATGGTGATAACCAAAAACTAAAGGACGCTATTGTAAGAAATGACCACAAGGAAACAGTATGAGCAAAAAAAGAATCTCAAACTCACGCTGAGTCAAAACAGCTTAAAAATGACAAAGTAGAGACAAAGAGATATAAAAGATCTTAAAAAGTTGCCAAACAACTGCAACAAGACAATGAGTGAAGGAGAAGAAGAAGATGTGAAGCATAAACATAATTGCATACACAGCATGACCATACAATTTCAGTCTGGGTGTTTTCGTCCTATTAAGGAGGAGTGTGATACAAATAGCAGCTTTTAAACATTTTTTTTTCAGGTTAACAATTGGCATTACTCCAAGAACCAGTATTAAGTTTAATACATGGTTGTACACATTCGATTAATATGCTCCTCTTGTTTTGCTTGGATTCCACATCTCTTCTTTATAATCACTATCTATTGAACCAGCCTCTGTAAATACTACACATGCTACACATCGAAATATAAGGTGAAGAAGACTGACACCTTGTGGACAAAAGAGAAGGCGCAGGGTCATGTCTTAATGCCCCAGCTGCTGTAGGATGAGTCAAGAGTAATGAGCAGGGTAATGAGTGTAAGACAAACAACTGCAAGGCCAGTATGAAGTGCTTGGTGTCAGTAATGGTTAGGCTGCCCTCTAGCTAAAAGGTCAAAGGTTGCCATCAAAGGCTTCAGCCATGATGGCTTTTAATCAGTCTTTAACACCTGCTTAGTCTCTGTAAAGCACTGATTACAGATAAGCGTGTGAGCTCATTATGTTACATGTAAGTCTTAGATATGTCTACATATAAACTGTGTGTGTATGTTCTCTTTCTGTTTATGTGGTTGTGGTTGCTGTGTGTATGTGTGCTGTGCAGGAGAGCAGATCCGTAAACGAAGATGTAAGGCTGCGTTTAGCTACGTTCCTCAACACGAAGATGAGCTGGAGCTGAAAATAGGAGATGTGATTGAGATCATAGCAGAGGTGAGAACTACATCATGAGCCTACAATGTAAAACCAGAAAAAAGGATGCAAAATAGCATAAAAATAACATTTTAGGTTATAGACGACAATCTCACATTAAGGTCCACATAGCAGTTCTGGAGCTTTCGGGCTTTCTCAGAAGAATGAACTTCCCAGTTATAATAATGGGTTATGAGTGCGGCAACGGACTGGCAACCTTTTTATGCTGTAGCCAAACATTTGCCATAAGACACCAAGGAAAACTCCAGGCTTCCACCCTGAATTAGACATTTATGAGTACTTGGTAGCCATTTCTTCACGGTTTAAAAACTAAAAGAAAGAAATCGTGTGTGTGTCCCCGTCCCTTTTGAAAAAGAGTAAGAAAATTTAGCAAAATATATCTACTCAAGTAAAGTCAAATTTTTAAATTGCCATGTTAAAAAATGAAATGCAGGAAGAAAATACAAGTAACTGAAGTTTTATTTCATCAAATGTGTAACAAGAAAGAAAAATTAGATAAAATAAAATGTTTAAATAGTATGTATTTTTAAAAAATATTTAAAAAATTTAAATTTTACTTTTAAACGTGTACATTTATGTATTTATATTCTTTTGAATAATTAAGATGTTGAAATTCTCATGTTTTCTTTATATATTAGTTATTTATTCTTTGGTGATCACCACAACGCTGCCCTATATTTCCGAAAAAGCTTTTTTTAGGCTTTATTGTTTGTAAAGAACATTGTTTTTTTCCACTAATTATATTTAAAGGAGTAAATCTATGTATATCTGAGTGTATAAACGTGTGCATGTTGTCCATGTTGTGTAACTGTGTATGTTCAGGTAGAGGAGGGCTGGTGGGAGGGAGTTCTTAATGGGAAGACTGGAATGTTTCCCTCCAACTTCACCAAAGAGATCCTCACTGATTCAGAGACGCCCTCTTTGGACTCGCAGGAGGAGAACCGCAGTGGACGCACAAGTGAGTTACAGCTAATCAGAGGGTGGGGACATATCTAAATTTAAAAAATCCATCACTGCTTCTGATTACAAGATTTATTTGTTTATTTTCAAATCTTTTAATTATTTCATGAAATCAGCCCTTTTTGCATTGCTGCAACAAACTAAGATGTGTTGTGCATTATTTGTGTGTATGTAGATAAGGACAGCCCAAGCAGTGAAAGCGACGGTGGGGACAGTCGGTCAGAAACAGGGTCAGAAATCCCTCCCAAGAAGGTAAATACAGTCAAATACTTGTGCATTAAGTGCTACCTCATCACACTACAAGCTTCCTTGGGGGGGTGATCTCCTCTATAAAGTCAGCCATGAAATTAAAAGTAGGCAGGACGGTCACATTTGTTTTTTCAAAGCCTGCTGTCTTTTGGGGGTCAGGGGAATACAAAGTGCAGATTCTGAATCTTTACAAAGACTGCATGACAAAATCTGTACTTCCCATAATCCTATGCGCATCCTCTGACTGCTCAGAGACTGCTGGTCGGCATGAGAGGCATCTAAATAATAGAATGAGGATGGTTATAGTGATTTGGTTGGATAGTGCATAAAGCTAATTATTAACACTCCACAGCTAGTTTGTCCATAAATTTGTAGGTTGAGTTAAAATTAATAGCGACCATTTTAATTAAACATAAATTATATCTCAAGCTCATTTTTAGTGAATGAATTTATCTTCTTCCCATTTTTTTATTTCAGCATATTAACTATGGCTCAAGGGAAAGATAAAAGAAGGGTAAAGATGGGAATATGTAACAACTTTCTGGTAATTTAAACACTAAAAAAATGGTATCATGTTCAAAGCAAAGTGGTAAACTACTCAACTCAAGTTACAGTCAGAACAATAACCACAAAAAAAGAAAAGGATCCCATGAAAAGCTGGAAACTCTCCTAGGCATTCCAAATGTTGTTTACTCGCTGTGGTTTATACCACACGGAGACACTGCAATTGAATTAATATGAGCTTCATGTAAGGTCATATTAAGGTATAACATCAGTCAGCAGCACAAACCGATCTAGTGTTCCTAGCACCTGGCCTTATTTTGGCAACAGAAATGTCTGGAACAGAGGAAGCATACAGACAGACATAACAGACGAGGATTATGATGCAGGGGTGGTAACTCTGAGTACATTCTGAGTCATAGATGGAGAAATGAAACTTTACAGGGTCAATGGATGAGCACAAAGGAAGCTGTTGTTGTTTTTCTTTCCTATTTATGATTTTGGTTGGACTGCTCCTTTAAAAGATAATGCTGTTTTTCATTATATCTTTTTAAACCCCCTAGGGTCAGCTCAGAGGGTTTGGCTTTGGTAATATCTTTAAAGACCAGCCCATCAAGCTCAGGCCTCGCTCAATGGACGTGGACTCGGAGGTGGACAAGGTGAGTCACACACACCCAGCTGTGTTTGTGTCACTTATGTTCACTTCCTGGAGACACACAGTAACAATAAACCAAGTAATCAGTCTAAAATTAAATGACTAGCACTATGGGGTCTGTTTTGTCCCCATAAGGCAATTTAGTAAACAGGTCCCCACAATGGAAGTAATACAAGTATACACATTCTGCTTTATACACTCTATTTGATAGACTTTTTAAAAAAATTATCATCAACAGCAATGAGGAAAGGAAGTCACAGCCTTTGGGCCGCCCCTTCCTCAGCTTCAGTTTTACAGCACAGGAAGTGGTTTTATGTTAACACACATGCACACACACACATGCACACACACGCATCCTGTAGGGAATTGACAAGCAAAGCAGAAGTGAGAGCGCAGCAGGGCAGACAGAGAGAGCAGGAGAGGGGAAGGGAGTTGATACAGCTTTTCACTGACGTCTACATATTCACGTCTATTCTCCTGCTGCGTGAGCTGATGTAGCAAAGCCTCGTGCGAGTTTAACTGGAGACACAGAAAAAGACGGTAGGGACGGGTATTGTCCGCGTATTTTTGGAGGGTTATTCATTTTGCATATTCTTCTCTTCTTCATTGGAAATTAAACAGCGTAACAACATAAAGCCAGGTGAGGCAGGAGTTTTAAGCAATGTATGTTTTTGCTTTTCACACTGTTGTCAGCGAGTTTTGTAAATATTTCTCAGGGAAACACAGAAAAAGAGATAACGGCCACCAAGAAGACATTTCTGGGGTATTAAATGCTACAGAATTGATGCTTGACATGTTGGGATGACAGTGGAAGGGTTATGGATATAGACTTAAAGGGCTAGTTCACCAACAAAGCAGCCTAAAAGATGATGGTTTTATGTGTGTTTTATGCTAAGGAAGTGTTTGGGATACCAAAACGGGGCAAATATAAGCAATAAAAATATGATTTTTTTATTTTGGCTCCTGTTTTAAACCACAAATATTAAAAACTGGACATAAAATAGTCCAGTTTGTAGACAGCTTTTTGAACTGAAAGCCAAGGTAACGTCACCCAACTTTTTTTGGCTTAATAGTTTCCATTGAAGGATATGGTCTTGGGTTTGTCTGTCAATTTATTGTAAATTTTAAAACATTTTAAAAGTGAGATGTCTGAACGTCAATCTTGGTGAACAGGGCTGGTAATTAAAGTGAACTTTAATGGCAGTATTAGTAGGAAAATGCTGGCAATCAAGAAATGTAAAAGTCTTTATTAAAGAAAAACAGAAAATGTTAACTTGCACGCCAAGAACAGTCAGCAGCTAAAAATTACAGACGCAAACAGCCTGAAAGTGAAATGCTGCTAAAACATTCATTAGGATGAAGGTAGAAATAAAGAACATTAACTATGTCGATGAAGGTGTGTTTAAAGAGCGTAAAACGGTCATTAAAACCAGCACACTGGTCATCAAAGCCTCCTATTTAGCAGCAGACTGTGTGTGTGTGTGTGTGTGTGTGTAAGTGAAGGATGTTTGTCAGCCTGCCCTGTTAGTGGGAGGCCGTTATGCTGCTTTATGGTGAGACTCGTCTCCTCACTCAGTAATGAGGCTCCAGAGGAAGCATCAGGAGTATCCATCTGGGTGAGTCACACGAGGCCGTGTAACTTTTCAACTGAACGGTCGGTTGTTTGTACATGTGTGTGTGTGTCTGCGACTGAGTGGTGTGGCTTGCTGCACAGACGCAGAGTGACCACATGCGAGTTTAACGCAGGTGTTTATAATTTGGATTATTGCCATTGCAGCAAATGGAAACGCTTTTCTTAGTGTTTGTTCAGCGGTTCCTCTTTTTATTTTCATTGCGGTGACTCAAAGTCACTCAGGCTTGACATCAACTGTCACCGGAAAAAAAGTCATTGGATGTGAAATAGAAACCAGCGGGAACCTTCTGATGCGAAAGAGAGACAGCAGAGACTTGGTGCATTTAAGTATGCAGTATGGTCAAGACGAGCTACTGAAGTTCAAACTGACCATGAGAATGAGGAAGAAAGGTGATTTAAGTGACTTTGAACGTGACATGGTTAAATAACTGGGAATCCCCTGGGTTTTTTCCAAACTAGCATCTCTAGAGTTTACGGAGAATGGTCTAAGAAAACATGCAGTGAGGGTCAGTTCTCTGGGTGAAAATGCCTTGTTGGTGTCAGAGGAGAATGTCCAAACTACTTCAAACTGATGGAAAGGCAGAAGTGCACATTGAATGTTGAAGCAGATGGGCTACAGGAACAGCAGACCACAACGGGTGCCACTCCTGTCAGCCAAGAACTAGAAATTGAAGCCATTTTTTATTCTCCAAATTGGACAATAGAAAATTGGAAAACTGTTGTCTGATGTGACCAGTCTTGATTTCTGCTGCAACATTTGGTTGTTAGGGTCAGAACTAAGCCTAAACAACACGAAAGGATGGATCCATCCTGCTTTGTATCAACAGTTCAGACTGTTGGTGGTGTAATGGTGTGGGGGGGATATTTCCTTACCATAATTTGATCCTCTTAGTACCAGCTAAGCATCATTTAAAACACCACAGCCCCCTTGAGTACTTTTGCTAATCATATCCTTCTATAATAATAATAATAATAATAATGGATTGGATTTATATAGCGCTTTTTAAGGCACCCAAAGCACTTTACAATACCACTATTCATTCACTCTCACATTCATACACAGGTGGAGGTAAGCTACAGTTGTAGCCACAGCTGCCCTGGGGCAGACTGACAGAAGCGAGGCTGCCATATCGCGCCATCGGCCCCTATGGCCAACACCAGTGGGCAAGTAGGGTAAAGTGTCTTGCCCAGGGACACAACGACCAGGACAGAGAGCCCAGGGATCGAACCAGCGACCTTCCGGTTACAGATGCGATTCCCAACCCCCTGAGCCACGGTCGCTCAATGTGAACTCATTGTCACTGTGGTCATAGGGCCTCCACAGTCACCAGATCTCAGTCCAATAGAGCACCTTTGGGATGTGCTGCCAATAATCTGGAGCAACTATGTGATTCTCTGAGGAGTGTTTCCAGCCACTTGTTGAATCTATGAGATGAAGTATTAAGGCAGTTCTGAAGGCAAAATGGGGTCCAGCCCAGTACTAGTAAGTATACCTGACAAAGTGGCCAGTGAGTGTATGTATGTGAGTGTAGGATAACATCTTAACATCAAACTTCATCAACTCACACACTGGTTGGAGTCACTGAGCAGCTGAAATATATGTGAATGGGCCAAAGTATCAGTTGGGGGTTTTGGCCAAAAAGTGAATCAGCTGTAGAACAATGGAGGACATAATTAATTGCCAGTTTGTCAGTAACCCCCCCCCCAAAAAAAAAAAAAAAACACAAAAAAACCAGTTTCTGTGCACAGCTTTTCTTAGTGAGATGGTGAGACAGAAAAATAAAGGAGTTTTTGCTGTCATGTAGCAACACTCCAAATCAAATGTATTTGGCTAGTTTTTGGGTAGATCAATAGTTTGTGGCTCTGAACTCTGAATCTGGTATGGATACGATGATGACATGATGATATTTTAAATCCAAGAGTGCAAACATCAGCTTTGGCCAGGTTAACTGCAACTTGACTGGTTGGCTTACAATTTTTTGCAGCTGCACAGCTGTAATTGTAAGTGTTTCTCTGCAAGAAAGCAAATACAGAATTGCTCCTTATATTAAATAAAAAGTTAACTTAAGGGGCTAGAAGTTTGTTAAAACCACAACCCCAGCTATAAGGTCCACTTCCTCTCCTTGTTGGTGATGTTGACTTTTTTTTCATTGTTGAGTCACTTCAAAAGCCTGTTTCATGTGACACGAAAGGACTTTTAGAAGTAAGTTGTAAATAGACTGGTGCTTATATAGCGCTCTTCTACTCTACTTGATCACTTAAGGCAATTTATACAGCGCGTCTCATTCACACTCGGATAAAGGCATTAAGAACATCTCACCTAAGGATACTTTAGGATGCAGGCTAGAGCGACCAGCGATTGAACCACCAACTTTCTAATTAGTAAATGACCTGTTCTACCTCCTGTACCACAGCCATTAAAAAAATGACAGCCGCTAGTATTCCCAGTACTAACCAGACCCTGCTTGGTGTCTGAGATCAGATAGGACTGACTGTACCCAGCAGTCATCTTGGCATCTTGCTTCTGTACAGTTTATTCCAAAAAAACATACATAATTTGAAGCCAAATGGCTGAATCAATGAAGAGATGAACACCTTCATTTCAGTGGTCACTGTAACATAAACATTGCATGTTTAGTATCAGTTTTCAAATCTGAAACATTTACATCAGCGGTAAAGTTCCCTTTTTGTTTAAATTAGTTTTAAAAGTCTTCACGTCAGCCTAATTTCAAGGTGAATGCATGTTTGAAATTAAGATCATGGAGCAAATTTCTCTAAAACCTGTTCAGACACAACCTGGTAAGGCTAAAATGTAACCTGGGTTTAAATATAAAAGTTTAGTAGCCATCTATGTAACACCTGGACATTGTTTGAGAATTGCAAATAGTGTCTTTGGTTTAACATCTGATTTGTTCGCGCAGCGGCTCTGAGCAGACAGCCACTCAGCATCCGTCTCGTTGTTTGTAAAATAACCTACTGTTTCCATCAGCTAGGGCAGTGTGGTGGTGAGGCCCTGCAGCCTCAGAAAAAAAAGTGACGGGTTTAAATTTGCAGAGGTGTTGAGGAGAAAGAGTGCACTTTCACTTTTCAAGCAGAGGTAAAGAAGACGTGACCTTGTTTTCCTATAGGCATCTTTTGAATGATCTGAGAAGACGGCGTTTCACCTGATGGGTTTTTTTTTTTAAACAAACCATTACATTGTTTACACCTCTCGCAAAGATCTCTTCAAAGTCTTTTCACACCATACCAAGCCGGTGAAGATCTGCTTTACAGTGATGAGGTGATAAAATAGCACCCTGCACCGTACATGCAGCTTCAAGGGTTATGTGAGGATGAATCAGCATGTATTCATTGTGTGCACACTCTATGTATGAGGTGGTACGGTTTGATATTTGTTGAAGGTCACGATAATATTCTCATGCTGCTACTTCTACAGGACTGTGTGCTTTTGTGTGTTCACAGTTATGTTTTTGCAGTAGGAAACCATATATGGCATAAAGGATTTCAGTTCTGCTTGTTCGAAGAGTAGTATCGCACAAAACCTCTCTGCCATGTTGTAATGGTCTCTCTTTGCTTGTGGCTCCACATGGGTCTCATTAGGGAGGGTAGAAGACAGAAAAGGGGAGGGTTTGGAGAGGAGAGGAGGTGGCACGGCGGTGTTGGTTTCTCCCGACCGAACAGAAGAAAGCAGTGTGTGTGTTTTCTCCCAGACTGAGTGCTGTTTGTGTGTGGGTATGTGTGTGTGTATTTTTCCTGAGGAAGAGCAACCACTGGTTCCACAAACATGAATGAGGGATCCACTCCAGCTGGGAAACAACGGCTGCTTTAACGGCACCCGCACACTGTAGCTGTAGCGTGTGCGTGTTCAACATGATCAGCAAGTCAGCCTGTTGTGCTGAATCTGAGCTCATCCTCTCTAATTATCTGCTTAGACTGGAAATGTACCGGCTATGTTAGTCTTGCTTTTTACCCTTACAGTTGATTTTTTTCCCCCCATGATTTTGTTTGGCTAGTGTTCCTATTTTCCTGTTATGTGTGGTTCATTTACTACCAATTTGAGTGAAATTCTGTGAAATGTTTCACCAGTGCTGACTGCCACTGCTGTCACGGTGTACTGTTCTCCATACTCGAGCTTATTTTTGATTGATTTGTCCTCATCATTGAATTCAGTTCAATGACAAGCAAAGATGCTATACTCAAGTGCAATTAGGAAAATCTGAGTGTGTTACTTGAATACTGTGAGGCCCTGAAGAAGATTCAGAAATGTCAAGTCATGTTAAGTTATTTATAAAGAAACTTCACAATGTTTGATTTATAGATTTATGTTTGCATTTAAATAAAGGCACAAACATACAATACTGTGCAAAAGCCTCAAGACAGCCATCATTTCTTTATGTGTTGCTTCCAAAGAGCCAGAGTTTTCTTCTAACTCTTCTAATGTGGGCTTACACTGTGCGATTTGTGGCTCGTTTTGAGCCGATTTTTCAGTTTCAGAGTTTCGCCTTCATCCTGTGTCGTGCATCGTGTAGTATATGTGGGATAACGAGAAGTGATTAACACCTCACGTCCAGCTCCTGTTCATCAATCGCTTGGTTGTAAGAAAATCAAACCTGTTTGAAATCCTGTCGGCCGTCGTGAGGGTGTCAACGCAGCCTCTCACACTGTGCACACGCAAACACATAAATGTCGGAGAAAAAGACGGAGCAGCACGGCAGTTCAGCGTGTGATCTAGACACAAGCAATGGACGCACAATTTGTAGAACTTTGGCAAGCTCATCCGAGCCTTTTCGATGTGGCCTCACAAAATTATCACGACCACAACAACCGTGAAAATAATTGGATGGACAATCCTGCTCAATCACAGCTGCCTGATCAACGTTTTTCATTAGCAATTTAGCAAAGTTGATGGTGGTGGTGTGAGTCTGTGTGAGTGAAAGACAGACAGGGAGAGCAAGCGACAGATTTTCTGTTATAACCTTCATGTTATGGACGCACAGTGTGAGCATTCAGGTGCATCGTGACCTACGAACTTCTAACCCCTGCGAGTCAATCGTGCAGTTTGAGCAGATGCTCGATAACGCAACTGAAAAACTGTATGCCCAGCTTAAAGTGGTGTTTCTTTGGACATTGGCTGCCTCTTAGCGCATTTTCAGTACTTATACCAGGCCATTTTCAGAGCGATCTTTGTTTTGTTTATTAAGACACTTAACACTGATCTATGAATCATTCATGCATAAGCAATTCATGCCAAAGATAAGAGACTGACTGGTTTTTCACCAAAAAGGTGATTCCCAAAGAAATATTAGCAAGAAATGTGGTATGTCTCACAAGCTGTGTCCTTAAAAGCATGTCCTTAAAAGAAACTTAGGAAAGTGGACAAGTGATGACTAAGACCTATCTGCAGCAGATGAACAGTATTTCAAAAGTCATGTCCTTAAGAAACAGAAAAAAATCTTGTAAAGCCAGAGCTAGCACACAGGACTTAATAATACATCCGGCCCTTCAAATGATTCATCTACTGTTCCCTGAAAACCCATCAGAAAATGTCTCAGTTGAAGGGTTTCTATCAAGAAGGCTTTCTTAAGGAAGGGAAATAAGGACAAAAGGCTGAGGTATGCCAGATTACACAAGAATTGGGCTGACAACCAGTGGCAACAGGTCCGATGGAGGGATGAATCCAAATTAAATTGTCATCGGTATGTACAGTGGAGGTCAGGGAAAAGGTAAAACACCCATCTCGGAAAAAAAAGTGGAAGCTCTGGTATGGTTTGGTGCCAAACACAGAGAGAACCAGCAGCCTCTCCAGAGCCAGGACATCAACATTAATGAAGCAGTGTGGGATCGACAGAGAACAAAAAGCAGCCAACATCCAAAGAGCTTTGAATGTCCTTAACCTCTTAAGACGCGAACTCTTCCACAGCATGCATTTTTAATTTCTCTTTGATATTTGGGCTGATTGGGGCCCGATGAATGTAAAAACAAAGAATTACCAGATTTTTATTTTTTTTTTTTACCTTATTTTTGTTTTTAAGAAAAATAAGATCCACATATGAGGATATTCGTTTAAAATTCTGATAGAACAGTAGCAGTATAATGTCCTCGTAAGTGGGTATCAGGCCCTTGTAGAGCTAAATTTAGTATTTCGGTCTATCCATCCAGCCATTTGCTTCCGCTTATCCTTTTTGAAGTTGAAGTACAAAGGTGGTCATACTAAATATTGTCTTTCAAGTTTGTTAGAATTGTACAAAATCTGTTTTTTTCTTAAATCCTGTATTTTTATTAATATTAGCATGTTGCAATAAATATTGCTACACCTATTAAAGAAATGGGAGCTAGCAGGAGGCTTTTGCACAGTACAAATTGATAAATAAAAGATGAAAACATGATGACTCAAACCAGGAAGTGCCTAACAAAAACTATGTTAAAACATAGATGAGAATGTGAAAGAGTCTGAAACTTAAGATGTTCCAACATCTCTTCCCCCACTCAGGCCAGCGACGGGAAAGCAGCGAGCGTTGCAGTTGAAAGCATGAAGACTGAGCCTGACAGCAAAAGCAAAGGTGAGAAGTTGCATCTTAACTGTCGTGTAGGCGAATCTAGCAAAAACACTGTGCTAATGACAAATCGACGCACATGTCACTTTCAGCTCATCACATTCTGGTGTTTGGTCAGAAATCCTTATTCGTCATATTTTAACAAAGGGAAACCCCTTTAACAACTATTTCAACCATGAAGAAGAACAGAAGCCTGCTAAAGGAGCAGAGTTGCATGTAACATGTTCCAAAGTAGCACATTACAGTAATCACATGACTCAGAAATGTAGTGGATTACTGTACATGTGTACTCACCTTCATGTTACAGTTGTTACATGTGTAACCTGTCCCTAAGTTACCAGATAGAAAAAAAATCCCCAAATTTTCCCTTTTTCTGCACTCTCAAAATGCAATCATCTGGCCTTATTTCATGTGGCAGGAAGTGAAAAATTGTGGTTTAGTGGTTTACAGGTTTTGAAGATCTTATTTAAAAGAAGAATATTTGCTTAAACACTAACTGCATGCAGGCTAGAAGCAGCAAGCATCACAAAAGACTAAAACAAAGCATACCAAACAGAAGGTTTCCCAACCAAGCAGCCAAATTTTTAACAGGTAACAAAATGACAAGCAGTCCAAAATGTGCCTTACTTAGGCAAGATGACATGTAATTTAATCTCAAGACCTAAGACAAGGGTTCGAGGTCTGTCTGCAACCGCCTTTTTATATTTACCTTCATATTTGATCCCTTTTCTCTTGCCGTTTGAGTAAGTTTAGATAAATTAGACGGTCAGGACTCAGTACTAAAACCTGTTGGTTACTTTAAAGAGAAAAATCATAGTGTGGGTTTAAGGAAACCGTTCCACAATGGTAAACTGTCTCTCAGCTTTCTCAGCATTCCCCTGGTTCCTGCACATTAAACAATGATGCTGAGAACGGCTCGTAAAATCTCAAATACATGTGCAAACCAAACAGGATCCCTCCATGTGTTCCATTCGGTCAACTAAAAACCATGTTTGCTATCATTTCCTACACTTTTTGCAGGTTTCCTTTCATTCTAATAAAGCGTTGTTTCTTATTATCATAGTGTCTAATGTTGTTACACTGTTTTGAAAGTGCTTCCTCGTTTGGGCTTTTGTCCAAGCATGTCCGTTTATACAAGAGAACAAACTATTTTTTTCAGAGTGAATGCGTCTGTCCATTATTAGATCACTGATAGGGATTATTATTGTTTATTGTAAAACGTATGGATAAAAGACTTTAAAAGATCATTATAAAAAAAAAGACAAAACAAATAAAGGGATTATTTGGAACTTTTTTATATTTCCAATTATAAATTACATTTTTTGCTCAATGTAAACTGTGTTGATGACGTTCTTGCATAATGAAAACACATTCTTCTATTTATGTAGGTCAAATCCAGTTTGCCTTCTTTGTCTAAACCCTCTTGTTTCTGACTTTTTCGGTGGTTTTGTTCTATTAAACTGACTTGACTCCTTTTGACTGGCTGTCAGGGCGGGAGCAGTGTAAAGTCCTCTTTCCATACGAAGCACAAAATGAAGATGAGCTGACGATCAAAGACGGGGACATCATAAATATCATTACTAAGGTGAGCGAAGCATTGTGCGATTTCGTATTCGCATCTGCATTCACTTCCAGGCATCTGCAAATTCAAATAAATACTTAAAAATGATTTTGTCCAGGATTGTGCCGATGCAGGCTGGTGGATGGGGGAGATCGGGGGAAGGCAAGGTGTCTTCCCAGACAACTTTGTCAAGCTGCTAGAAGTTGAGAAAGAGGTGATTTTGTCAGGACTCGCAAAACTTTCCAGGTTATAGTGATGTTTGAAATCTGCAGATGTGGTTTTGTGATGCTTCTGCATCTGTATGTGTTTTCAGAGACCAAAGAAACCGCCTCCTCCAAGTGCACCGTCGGCAAAACACACCACAGGTAACAGCTCTCATCTTCCTGCTTGTTTTTGTGGTCTGAGACTATAAAAAAAAATAATAAAGGAGGGGAAATAGTAAAAATAAAGAAAGACAAAAAAAACCTTTGAACTCTGACTGCAGAGAAAAAGTCAGAGGTCAGGAAGGCTCCTCCTGAGCGGCCTGAACATCTTCCCCAGAGAGACCAGGATCGAGGTAAAATCTGACCTGCTTTGACTAGTGCTCGGCTGCACTATCTCACTTATTTGCTCGGCTAATTACTAACATCCTTCATACTAATAATAATCATATAACACCCTGCTGGGCTTCTTTGCATAAAAAAGACAGATTATTTTCTAGGTCAAGTTTCTGCAGATATCACTTACGGGAATTGCCCCCGCTATTTTTTGAGCAAAATAGCAGAGCTTTGATTGAAGAGGTGCATCAGTATCAGTCTGTGTGCAACAGGAAACTATGGGTTTTTATGTGGTTTTAAGCATAAGAAAGACTGGCATTGACTGTGCTGCTGGTGTGAGACGGATGTCTCCAGATGTCTGCACAGTGGCCGCGATGTCATTGTATCAGAGCAGCACGAAATTATGTCTTTCTTTTATATATATGCGATATACTGAGATTGTAGTGGGGTTAAAAACATACAATCAGAGATAAAAAGTGTCATCAGCCTTATGTGTTACTTTGTACCACTGTCAAACTGATTTCCATAACTCTGTCATACATTTACATAAAGTAGCAAAGTTTCTATGATTGGAGTTTGCCTTTGCTAAAAAATAAAAACCCCAAACAATTAAGTACGTAAGTTCTATGATTTTGTGGCTGACAGTTTTTAAGGTGTTGCTTGTTGTTACATCAGTCAAAAGCAATCGTACTGGTACACTTTTCCGTGTGGCTTCTTTGCACAGCAGTACATGCTGAGTAGGAGGGTGCTACTGCAGCTAAGTGCTTTTAAGAAGTCTCCAAAAGCATGAAAGGTTTTACCATGCACAGCTAAAAGTCAGTTTTTGAGACAGTTTTGGCTTTGTTGTCGTTATTTAAAAGATTAAATCCTTTTATCGGATTAGTAATAGACACACTATTAATAAGACTGATGCAACTGTTGTTTCTGGGCTTTTTTTTAATAGTTACAGACTCTCAGCTTGCCTCCATACACTTGCATTGAGTGCAATTTACACTTCAAAAACAGCTATAGGTTAAGCTCTTTACTTCCACCTGCAGCAACAAACATGAACTATCCCGCTGAAGCATTCAACAGTTTCTTCCATAACATTTAGAGTCCAAATCTGGTTTATAGACCAGTAGATGAAGTTTGTGGAACATGAAATAGTTGGAACTGGTTATTGTTTATTTAAGTCAGTTTTAAACAATTGGGAAAAGGATGAAAGTTGTACCTGTTTACTTTTACAATCTTTTACTGCATACGCTCTGAATATTGTATTTAGTCCTTTGTCCTTTGTAGACCTGGCATTAACTGCAGGTCACTCTAGAAAAGGAGATTTTTAATCTAGACTTATAATAAGGATAGTAAGTATCCTGATTGGTTGCAGGTGTGGCCACCTTTGTAAGGGGAGTAGGGGGAAATAAATACATTCTTGATTAAAAAAAAAGATCCAGAAGCAGGCTGGAGGATAAAGTGACTCTGCTGTAAGGAAAAATGGATGTAGAAAACAAATGGCAGCAACTTAATACTTCTCATATTCATACTACCAACATGAGCACTCAGAGAACACAAATCCCCCCAAAGGGCAAGAGCTAAACTTTGGTGTTTTGTGATGATCTTATTACACTGTGCTCGCATCAGCTTGTTATTAAATAAATAAAAAGTGTGATGTACAGCTCTTTTCACATCTATTCTTATGCTGTATTACTCAAAATGATTTCTTGAATTGTTTTTTTTCATGGTCAGCTATGACCTTGGGTCAAGGTCAGATGCATAGCCAATCCAAGTGTTTCACTGTGCACACTGGGTTAAATCTTGGATGAAATCACGCCAGTTATTTTATGCAACAGTGATGGAGGATTTTCTTGAATTGTAACATAATAAATGGTTCTTGTTTGGCTCATTTTTAGTAGAAGCTTAAATACTTGACAAATACCGCTGCCACCACCTCGATGCCTGATCTTTTTTAATCCTTTCTGTCCTCTGTTGCCCTGTTTGTGTGTTTCCTTTTATTTCCTGCGGCCCTCATCATCCTTTAACCTTTACAGCTGAATTATTCCTCTTCAAAGGTCAAAATTTGTTCATTTTTGCTGAGGCAGCCATGTTTACCTTCCCCTTGTCTAATGATGCACGTGTTTGAGTCATGCTTGTCCCTCTGCATGCATATCCAGCTCTGATCTGCTTGTGTGTTCTCATTATGTTGTATGATTTTTGTGCGTATGTTTGTTTTGTGCGTAGGTGAAGAGGTGAAACTCGGAGACCTCTCTAAGCCCACCCTCCCATCTCTCCTTCCCAAAAAACCCCTCCTTCCAAAGTCAAGCGCCTCCTCTTCCTCCCAACCCCCGCGGCGTCCCGAGAGACCGCCCACACTAGCGTCAGTACACACACAAACACACTCAGATACAGAAAACGCCCTGATTTGTACATGCCTGAGCATAATGAGCCTAATATTTACGTATGGTTTACTTGCTCAGGTGTGATAGCCCCAAATCTGAGGGCGGGGCTTCGATACCAGATTCTGCCCCTGACAGGTCACATGACACCGGTGAGTTAGACTGACAGAAGCATCGAGCAGTGATGCAGTGTCAGAGCGGGCTCAGAATTTTTGCTCTGCTGGAGTCTCTAATATGTTTCTGCATTTCTGGTGTGTGTCTGCACAGATATGGATCTGGACGCAGTTGTCTCTTCTACAGAGAAGCTGAGTCATCCAACGGCATCGCGACCACGAGTCACGGACCGCCGACCCCGTTCACAGATCATCACACCAGTGAGTCAGTCTGTAGTCGGAATGACAATTATAAAAACCTTTATGTTTGCAGTATGGTCATGTTTTACCAAAAAGTCGAGGCTTACACTGATGTCTTAGAAATTCTGACATCGCTCTATGTAGCATAAGATGGTGCCACTCTTTATTCAAGTTTTTGTTTTATTTCTTTTCTTTCCAACCAAGTGTGGTTTCTTTTTGGAAGGTTTTCAATCAGAAACATCAGCCATTGTTTGCTGATACATTTACTGGAGAACCTGTCCTTCTGCATTACAGGAGATTTATACTTGCTGTTAAATCCACACTGTAGGTACCTTGTAACCATAAACCCCCCTGAATAAGTCTAAATCAGCACTTAGTAGCTTAAACATTGCTACAGTGCTACATTGACTCACTGCACCATCTTTTGGTATAAATTTGTATTACACATAAATATGGCCTAGCCCTGTTTTAACTTCTGTTGATACGCCTTCAACAAAACACACAAACTCAGGAAGTTTTAGCAGATGTTTCTTCACATTCTTCCGATAGCTTTAGGCACTGAAATTAAATTCTTTTTCTTTTCCCACCCTCACAGCTTTTAGTAATAAATGTAATTCAGGGAACTCAATGAAACATAGCTTTGTTTTCATGCAGTCACAAATGTTTTAATCAAATTACTTGCATTTTTATCACTTCTGTTTGCAGCATTTCATCAGGACTTTGTTACTTCAATTTCACCCAAATCAAGGCTTTTGATAGCCAACACCCCCTCACCACAGATTTATTTGTGACCTTTAAAGATGCTGTCAGGCAAATAAGCTTAACTTCAGAATAGACCTAGACGTGTCACGACTGAGCAGCCGGTGCGTTTCAGATGCGAACCCAAATGCAGACACAGAAGAACAGAGCTTTAATTCCAACAAAAGGCGAGCCTTTATTTGGCTGATTGCAGGTGGCAAAACATGAAACTAAGAAAACAAAGAAGACTGTGAACACTGTAACTGAAAGACTATGAAACTCAGTGAAAGAAAACTATGAAAAACCATGAACACTGAGTAACTATGAAACACAGTGAAAACAAAAACCTACGACACTCTCTGACTGAGAGATAACAGACGATGCAACGCTGAGCACAGGAAGACTGAGGACTTAAATACACACGAGGTGATCAGGGGAAGCGGGGACACATGAGGACAAAGCTGACTAGAATTAAACATAATTACAACACAGGGGAGAGTAAAACTAACCACATGAACACAGAACATGCACGATCTATTTCAGAATAAAACAGGAAACTAGACATGACAACACTAAGCCTACAGACCTAAAAACACATGATAAACTAAAGAATCCAAACATGGAAACCAAGGAAACAATAAATAATGGCTGCCTTTAACCTAAACTAAATAGGAATAACACATGATCACAAAGCTAACATGAGAAGAATACCAAAATAAACTCGGAGCGCTGGGTCAGAGGCCCAGGCTGTGACAAGATGTTTCTCCCCATTTCCATTCTTCTCGCTAAACTAGATTGTCCTTGCAAAATATAAATTTCTTGTGATGCTTTTTAAAAATTATTGTCTCAGTTTGTATACAAGGATTTTTTTTTCTTTCTTCTTCTTGTGGATATTTTGCTATCAGAATATATCTGTAGTCTGAAAAAAGAAGACCAGTGAATGTATACATTTTTAAGCACATTTCTTTCTTTTGCAGTCTTCTCTGTCCTGCACTGACCTTGACTCACCGATAGTGGAGGTCAGGAAGGACAAGGAGCGAGTGAAGGACAATCATGAGTCTGTCTCCACCAGATCCGTAGATGTTTCCCTGAGGAAAGGAGTACCCACCATCTCTGTATGGCCATAACAGTTCCTTGTGCTTCTCATTTAATCCATCAGGGGGCATTACACTACAGAATTTCATGTTTTTTGACTTGTAAAACTGTGTTTTGGTAATTTTACTCAAGGCTTCTGGCAAACGTTAGTGTCGGCAGATAAAAAAAAAAGATAATGCTTTATTTATTTATATGAAGTACATTAAGTCTCTTTTAAGGTTAAATATCACAAAAAAGTCAAGTTTGACTCTTTCTTTTTAAGTTGAACATGATCAAGTTAGTGAAACAATCTATCAATAAATTCCAGGCCCATCCAGCTTGCAGCTTTGATCATACAGACACACACATACTTTTATTCTGTAAAGTGCTTAAAATCAAGACAAAAATTTCTTTCTTGAACCTAAAATCCTGCACAGTCTCTTATTTTTTTCATTTTCTGTATATTTTAATCACCAAGGACGTTGTGTAGGAGGTTAGATCTTGTATGTGAGAGGAAGAAAATATTATAAATGCTAAATTCTTCAATTCTTCTTGTTGATCTGTGTTTGGGATAGGCTCCTGACAGTAAAGTACCACTGCCTGCCAAGCCCTCTATCCTGAACCCGCCAAACTCCAGCCATCGATCCGCCTCTCCGTCTTCCTCCTCGGGTCTGAGTCCCTCACCCGAGCTCCGGCACTCACCACAAACACCCCTATCTCTGGAGGAACTCAGGAACCAGCTGAGAGACCTGAGGGCCTCCATAGACCTGCTGAAGAGCCAACATAGGTGAGTGTGTGCCTTTTAAACCAGCAAGTGTAGGTTGTTTCTTGTATATGTACAATCATGATTTGTTTGTGATGGTTTGTTTCAGGCAGGAGATGAAGCAGCTGGCCACCGCACTAGATGAGGAGAGGACGATTCGTATTAATTTACAGGTGAGTGAAAGGTGGTGAAGAAATGAGAGGAAAGGAGATGGCTAAGAAACAATATTGATTATATTAAAACAGGCCCACAAATTAACAGCAACTAGTAAATATGTTATTAATGTAAAAAAAAATATGATGAATTCATCTAAAACTTTATTTTTTATGTTTTGGAAAATTAAATGTGTTTCCTTCACATATGCTTTACTTGGGCAGGCTGCCAAGGTATATTAACAGTCGCACAAGTATATTTATTACCTATCCCCCCATTTTTGATGCTTATCTGGGTCTGTGTATTGGGGGAGAAGATGCCCAGACTTCCCTTTTCCCAACCACCTCCTCCAGCTCTTCTGGGGAAATGCCAAGACATTTCCAAGAATAAGCTGAGAGATATAATCTCTGCAGCATTTTCCACCCTCCCAGTAAGACATGTCCAAAACACCTCCCTAGAAAGAGCTGGATGCATCAGGATCAGATGCCTGAACCACCTTAACTGGCTCCCTTCAATATGGATTCTACTCAGAGTCCTGCTCGAATGACGAGCTCTAGTAATATTTCTCTATTAGTTTTTCATCCATTGAAGAGCACAGCCTCGTTGCTCATGCTTTGTATTCTGGGATGGAGCCTGGAACTATAGACATGCTGTGAAATGAACATAAATTTTCCATGTTTTCCAATAGTTCAAAACATAGCCCCTTCTTCCTGTATTTACTTCCTGTATTGATACCTTGGTTTGCTTGGACTTCACAGCTATAAGTTTACAAACTCATCAAATGGCCTGTACTTGTATTTGTGTTGTTTGTATTTACCATCAACAGATGAGTTCATCTAGTGTGTATGATGCATGCCACAAATACAATCTGTATCGATGGGCAACACACTATGTAAACTCAAAATAGGAGTACAGTAAGTGTCAAGAATCTCTAATCAGAGATAGAGTATTGGCAGTACCTGTGTGTATAGTTATGTAGTTAACCATCTGTTTTGACATACCAGCATTAATTTTTACTTAACTATATCATTTACACTTTTCATAACCACATTTCTGATACAAATTTTTATATTCATATCTTTGGTTGTAAATATAACTCTTTTTAATTGCTATGAAACTAGCTGAGCTCACGGTTGTGTTTGCTTCACAGATGGAGGTAGAACACATTAAGAAGAGCCTTTCAAAATGAAGACTAAAGCATCGTTATTGTCACATTCTTATCACCACATTGGAGGCCATCCTTTGAAGACATTCTCACTGCTGGTCTGAGACTCTTCAGCCAAAAGAAGTTTGTGCCAAATGATCATCACAATCAGCAACAGTTCAGCACCATGGAGTCAGCCACCTTCTCTCCCCGACGCCGCCTTATCCTGTGTTTACTTCTTTATTTTTCTTCTAAAGAGGCTTCTCTGTTCAGTTTACTGCTATTTTGTTGGAGCTTGCTGTACCACCGGTACTGACTGACTGCGCTGCAGTCTGTCGTTGCGTGTTGCCACGGTTACAGAACAATGACACAGAGCCGGGGCTGCCGTGGCAACCTCACTGGTACTTCATGTTTCTGTGTGAAAGAAACTTTGACCTCTGTAGCCCGGTCGGTTCAGACGACCCCTGTGCTGTTCTGCGTCCACTCTGCGGCCTTTGCCTCTTATCTGTGTGTGTGTGTATGTTTGTGCACTTGTTTTCCTTCCATGTGAGGACTGTAGGCGTACGTACTGAAAATGGGGACACTTTTGCAAATGTAAATTAGCCGCATTTGCCCTGCATTAACTTTCCTGAGATGCACTTACCAGGTTTTCAGTGGGTAAACAAAGAGATTCAGGGAGTCAGTCGGGGTCACAAAAAGAAAAGTGAGCTATTTCTGTGAGAAGTGATGTCACTAGTTCAAGACAGCCCTTGACTGGAAACAGATAAATTATCTAATGGCTTGCAAAGTTTTTTTTCATTTATTAAAATTATTACGTGCCAGCGATACAATTTCCCAGGACAACATTCAGGTGTGGCAAACCACCTTGAGCATCAGGTGAAATAGGGCATTTTGCAGCTACCAGTTTTTAAAATGGGCCACACTCGTTTTTCTTAATTTCTTCATTCACATCTTTAAAGTATCAGCAGTTGCAGAACAAATCCCAAATCAGGGGTGCCAACAGTGATGTCCCTACAGCTAGTTCTCTACCAAGTTTCAACTGGGCTGGGTAACCATGAGACTTTAGTTCCATTGAACGTTAGTAGTGTTTTTGGTGGAAATGCAGCTATTGTTGCATTTACAGGATCTTTACTTCTGTAAGGATCATATAAAGAAGATATATATCTACTTGTACATCTTTGCATGATTTACTTAAACTGTTTTTAGTCATGCTCTAGTCATGGCCTCTTTTCCAGTGAGCCCATTCTGATATGACTGGTCAGCCTCCAGAAGCTGCTAGGGAGCCTGAGACCGTTTTCCTTTTTCTTTGTTTGTTTGTTTTCTCTAAAACGGTTGGTAGCATTGTAAATGGTGAATAAAACACACCATCATAACAATATCTAAATAACAGTAAACCACACGTGTGCCCTTAAAGGTTATCATTTGGATTAAGAAATAAATTACGATAAAAATTAATGCTCAGGCCATCTAAGGTAGACTTCAGGTGCGTAAATCTGATGCCTCTGCCATTCTCAGCAGCATTCTCCTTTAACCACAGATGTGACGTCTGTGTTTTCAATCTGCAGTTGAACCTGGAAGCACATCAGGATACTGAAAAGCTTAATCAAAGTAGCTGGCACGATAAGTGCTGATACTGTAGGTGCTATTTACAGGAGTTTCTGGATTTTTTGGGGGAAACATATAAGCAGATGTCAGCACCAGGTTAGCTTAACTAAGCATAAACACTAGAATTTAGAGGTTATGGAAGCACAGTAAAATTACAAACACTGAAAACTTCCAGACATTACATCTGTTTTAGCACATACTTAAACAATGTATGCCTAATTAGCTGTTAATATGCCTTATTTGCTATGCACCATTTATTTTATCCACAACTATCTATAATTTCCATGCCATCAAACATCACTTTCATTTTGAAATCAATGCCATATGTGTTTTCACAAAATCGTGAAATAGTTTTTACACAACTATTATAAATACTGTCATCCTTCCTGTGGACAGCTGTTCACACACTTTTGGTGCCAGACTGAAGAATATTGGAAAAGATGATGGCATAGTGTAGCAAATTTTCTGATGTCCTCTTTACATCTCTAGCTTGTTGAAAAACTGAAATGGGCTGACTTTGCTTATGATCAAAAACTAGCAAGTAAGCAACTTTTTCAAACTGTGTTTTTGTTACGAATCAGTCCCACTATATGATAAATTATCATCCTGAAGAGTTGCGGCATTTGTTATCTTTGGAAAGAGGCCAGCTTACCCCTTCATTTCCAGTTTTTATGTTAATAGGCTAACTATCGTCTGCCTCCAGCTTTATTTTTACTGTACAGGCATGACAGCGGAATGAATCTTTCCATCTTGCACTCATTCAAAATGCAACAAAAGCACATTAACCCCAGATGGAAAATTATTCCTGCAGTGTTTGGCTGCAAATTGCATTTTTATCTGAAGAGAAAAAACACACTGATCAACTTATTGTGATTTCTTTTCCAGGATGGTTGAGCATGCATCAAGACGCATAGAGACACATCTGTGTGACATTTATCAAGTTAAACTCAATGCCTTCTCTACGTAGAACTTACTATTTAATCTTTTTTTTTTCTTGTTCAGTTTCACTCACATCTCCAGAAAGCTGACAAAACTGTTGCGCCGTTGGCATCTCACTCCTAAAAACCAAACTGAGAGCCACGTGCTTCTCGTGTTTGTGGTGCTCTTTTGGCAGCAGGTTAAGAGTAACTTTAAAGACAGAGTTTGAGGAATGTAGACAATGAAAGGTCCTCACATGTGTGTGCATGTGTATGTATGTGTGATATAGCATGTACGGCTGTTTGCCTCCTTTCCTTTTATGTGCACAGAATCTATGGCAACCTGTCACTGTGGCCTTCATGTTTTTGATTCCAAATCTTTATTTCTTTTTTCTTTCTTTCTGTCTTTCGTATGACAAAGAGAAAACTGCTACAACTGAGGCTACAAGTTGTTTTCTTGACTTGGTCCTTTCTCTCCAGGATAGTGATAAATATATATACTTTTATATTTCAGTGTAATAAAGATGCTATTATGTACTGTGTGTGCACACTCTGTTTATACGTGACTGTCTGTAAAATGTGCATGCTTGTATAGTGTACATTCTGTTTCAAAGGCACATTTTGCCCATTGCACATTTACTGCTTATTCAAGTAGCTGGTGTTTCTGCACGAATGACTTTCATAGACAGCAGACATGCTCTCAGGTTGCCCAAGTTTAGACTGAACAAAAGGAGAAGTCATGGTGCAGTCTTAACGGTCACTGAAATTGCTGCAGGATTTCTGCAACTGCATGTCAAAAAATATTTGACTATTGCAGAATGTAATGGTGTTTGGATGTTTAGGTTTTTACATTGAGCATCCTTTTTACTGCACAATTTTAGAAAATATTAAAGTCTCCTCTAATAAATGTAATAAAATGGCAGTAGAGCTCAAATGTAGAGCTAAGCATAAGGAAGTTTTTACCATTATAAAAATGCATCATAAGTGGAAAAAGAGGATGTTGTAATCAGATTTGAAAAAAAAAGAGCAAAAATCTGTTCAGTGGAAAATGATATGCTGATTTTAGTCAGTAGTGTGGGAGGAAAAGTAAAAACAGTGGTTCCTCTTTTTTCACGGTTATGTTTAATTTTTAAGTTTAAAGTGATAAATCACAACAACAATCACCTCAGTGCACTTTAAACGGCAAGGTAAAGACATTTTACAGAATTAGGGAGACAACCACAACAATCAGACAGTTCCCAATGAGCAATCACTAGTGTGTTAGGAAGGAAAACCCAGCAGGACTAAATCTCTGACAACCTCAGAGAGGAGCAGTAATCTGCCATAACCAGTGGTGAGGTGAGCATAGAAAGACACACCCAAATCTTACAGCTTGAGCTTAATTCACCATTTTAAGCTTAAATCAGGATGACCTGCATGCATAGCCTGCTAACCAGCAAAGCACAAAACTGCAGATGGCCCACTGAAGTCCCACTTTTAATCTAATTTAATTTTGTTTACAATATGATGGTGGAAATTTATCCGACAAGAGTACTCTTAAACAAGAATATGAACTGTGACAGATATGTGACAAGACTTGATGAAGTGGAACTATTTGTCAAAATTCAGTTTCAACATTTCCATATATCCATTTTCTCAACCAATTCTGAATAATAATAAGGGGTAGGGTACACCCTAGACAGGTTGGCAGTCTATTGCAGGTCCTTCAATTCTGGAGCTCTTTCTGTACTCCATCCATCTAACCATTTTCTTCCACTTATCCAATTGAGGGTCGTGGGGAGCTTGAGCATATCCCATCTGCTACTGGGCAAGAGGTGGGGTACACCCTCGACAGTAGTTAATCTATCACAAGTAGTGATAGACGGATGCCTATCCTAGCTCCTGTGGCAGCTTGGATAGGCAAGGGGAATAGGACAAGTGGAAGCAATCACAGGCAGTTTATCCCAGGTGGATGGAAAATACTGGCAAATAGAGCATTCTTTCATCATCGGCATACTGTAAAACGACCAAAACAGAGCTAAATACAAAATATGAATTAATGTCAGAGCTCCATAATTTGCTGTGGTGAATAAATTATCTATAACAGCTTTAAAAAGAGACTTAACAGAGATAGCATGTATGCTTTTAGTCCAACTTAATAGAAATGAATACATTTATTACTACACATTGATCATAAGTATACCGGTAGTTCTTTCTTTTGTTTCACCATGCATGTATTTATAGTCCAAGCCTGCGCTGCTCTACACAGGAGGACTGCACTAGATTAATTTATTATTTGTTTTAAACTTCAAGTTGCTACAACAGTCAAGGAGATCAAATCTTAATATTTACTGATCTCAAAGAGAAAAACAAAAGAAAAAAAAGGCATTGATTGTAACTCAATACTTACACCAAACAGAAGACCACTGCACCCAAGGAATTAAACAATTAAGATGTGGTGTTCTCCCTCTGACCTAAACAAACATCACTGCCTAACTAAACCTAGCAGAAATAAAATTGTGAAAATAAAACTACCAGACACATTTGAAACAAGAACAAAGAATCCTATTAACACGAACTACCAAGAGATGTCCTCCAGCTCATTAACTCAACCAGAGAAACTTGAAAGAAAAGAGATCTAATTATAAGTCAAACATCATAAAGGAGGCCAGCAGGGAGAGGACAGGAGACAGAACACCAGGACCGTTACTTCCCTCCTTAAGTAAGTAGGTCTGTTGATATTTAGATTATCAAAATGATTAGTCTCTGTCTACACTTTGTTAAATAACCCAATTGTTTGATCTTTGGGCTGAAGGAAGAACAACATTCGGTGTATAAAAATGCTCAATCAACAATCTATTCCATACAATTCTCATTATTCCATACAACACTTCGACCATGAACGTCTAGACGGGAGATGTGGACAGGAGGGTGTCCGCCAGATCTCGAAGTATCTCACCGTTTCTCACATGCTTATAGCTTCAGCACCCCTCCAAAATCATAAAACCTAAACATCCACGTTCTTTCTCTCTTGGTTAGCCTAAGTTATGATCTTGGCTTCCTGTGCAGTATGTTCTGTTCTTTCTAATCAGACAAATAAGGCCATGATTCTCTGAAAACACTATTTCTTATAAATCAGCAGTATAATGCATCATAAAACAATGTAATTCATTCACAATAAATCAGCAACCTTCTTCTAAGTCAGGAGTAAAATGCAACCTAAAACTACATAATGATTTCACAATCTTTAATTAGAGGTATACGTGGCATAAGATAATAAAATAATCTCACAACTTATAAAACACAGTAACTCTAACATTACACTTAATGTTACGGCAATTAGGATCCTTAAAGAAACATTCACACCCAATAGCCAGTTGTTATCTAATAATGCTAATTTGGGAAGACGTGTATCTGTTGCATCTGTCCTCTCCGTCATGTGATGAATGGCCTCTGACAGCCTCTGCGGTTAAACATTAAGACGGCACTAGTCCCTAATGGAGACTAACCAGTAGGCCGTGCACATATAATTCTCACAAAGGGCACAAAGTCCTCTCTAATTGGCCACTACTTAAATCTTGGGCATATATTTGGAAATCAGACAAACTTCTTCTCTGGAGAGAAACTTAGAAGGAGCCAGAAGGATAACTAAAGCTGAAAAAACAGTCACATCACACGATATTCTATGCTGTTTGAAATCATAACTGAGAATAACATAGCTTATTTACGCGGTGGGCAGAGGAGGTGACCAAAAGGACACGCTGTCATATATTTAGACTAACGGGAACACTCTGATAACGTTTCCTAGACTGACAGGACCAGAGTTTATTCGCCAGTGGAAAACGTCATACCAGAGTACAGCTGAGCCAAAAGGGAATATTCCAACTTCTGAGTGTATTTTTCTCACCACATTTCCTCCTCCTCCTTCTCTTTCTCTCTCGGGGATCCAGTCAGATCCAGTCTGGATGAAGCGGACGTCTTGGTGCGAGATAATCGTCAGATGATATGAGTTAATGAGGCGGAGATGCAAGGAGACAGACTCAGACGTGCTCTCATGCCAGGACAGGTGTGCCACCAGTGAGAGCGAGAGGAGGAGAAAACGAAAGGCGCAAAGAGAATAAAGAGGGTGGTTGCGTAGATATCAAGCGGAGAAGAAGTCACTTTCCAGGTTCTCGATATGGAAACCGGGCAGAGCGCACCGGCGTCGGACATGGGGGGAGACCACACAGCTGGGGTGTGTGTGGTGGAGCGGGACCGAGAGAGGGGCGACGTGTCCAGCCCCAGTCCACCGACTAAGCAGCGCTCTCTGCGGGTCGTCTACGTCCTGAACGATGGGCTTAAGTCGGTGATGGCGAGCAGCCCGGAGTCCGGAGCGCTGCAGTGTTTGCAGAGAGCCTGTGATTCGGAGAGCGCCCTGCTCACCACCGTCACCTTCGGAAGGTTGGACTTTGGAGAAACATCAGTACTGGACAGTTTCTATGATGCAGGTACTTCACAGGAAAGTTACACAAGAGGGAGGGCAGGTTTGCACAAGTCAGACTTCTAACTGCAAGTGTGCGAAAACTTTTTATTATTAAAACTAACTAAGCAGCTCATATAAAACTCTATCTATCTATCATGCAGACTATTCTTCTTTTCCTTATTGCTGTCGGGAAAGCTTTTTTTTGTTCTTACAGTAATTCTGGTTGTGGTGGTCACATGATGAGACACGTACCTGTATTGGTGTTTGGGTAGCATGTAATCTTGATGGTGGAAGAGGTACCAATACACAATGATAAAAATAAAATGGAATATAAACAAATATTCGAAGTAAGTACACAAGTGGTAAATAAAAATGATACTACATAAGTGTCGAAATAAAAAGTGAAAAAAGAGGTTAAACTGAACTTCTTCAATTTAACTTAAATTGAAATTACTCAAGATATGTGAACACACTGTAGAATAAACTAGTATAGACATAAAGTAAGAGCTGAACCTTAACGTACACTGCAACATACTCCAGCAGGTAGGATAAATAAGACTCATGCTTGCAAGACTATGGTATGATCAGAGTACTTTTAGCTAAGTAATCTATGTTAATTCCTCATACACCATATGCTTTGATTCATTAGCACTAATAATATGTTTTTATTAAATCAGGAGTTAAGTTGCGTAATAGCTTGTGAGTGGTTCCTGACTGTTGTGTTACAACAGTTGTAAGTTTATTGTAAGCTATGCAGTGAGATCACTGTTATAGTGCAGCATGACTGTGCAGCATTACTACCCTGGACTGTGATTTCGCAACATTAGTAGGTTTTTTCAGTAGTCAGTAATTTACTTGTAAACTTGTAGCCTCGTATTACATCATGACTTATCTTTTGCAAATAGGTTCATACAAATGATAGATGTCTCAAAGTTATACTAAAGTACTAAAATTACAGCAGTTGGGTATATATGCTTATATTTTTTAATCCAATACATACCTGACTCTACTTCTGTACTTCAGTAATATTTTGAATGCAGTAACTTTGTGTTTTGTAGAGGTACTTCTTCCTTTTTGCACCCTTTATCCTATGCACATACTATACACATACTCAAGCTCTAATCTTTCCAGCAGTAGGAATGTACTAATAGAAAAAGTTATCACTAAAAAAGGTCTGTCATGGGCTACCAAGTTTGCAGCACAATAGTGAAAGCTTTTCTGTATGTTGACACATATAATTCTGCACAACTAGTTGAGCTGCTTTCTTATTCAGATGAGATCTAATTGTAGTAATAGTGCTACATGTTTGATTTTGGAGGTTTCTGAAACCTCAGATATCCTGATACAATCCTAAAGAAATGGTACAGATTCTTGTTGGGCAAATATGGAAACCAATGAAATATGGAGCCACTCAGGCTATTAATAAGCAAATGACCGAAAATATGCACTTGAACGCTCTTATATTACTGGCTTTGAATGCTGATGATTACAACATTTAAACTCATTCGTATGAATCCAAGACAGCAGTTGACAATAGTGATCTTAGTGAGCCTTGTGAGTTGACATTAATTCTTGTTTATTTATTTAATAACTCAGCTGACACCTGTTGTTGTTAATGGTTAAATATATTAAAATCTCACCATAAATCGATCAATGTTCCCCAAATAATTTTCAGTCACTTATTTCATAATTCTGTCTCCATTATGAAAAGATGATGCCTTTGAAAGCTCCTATTTTTAGGGGGAACGAAACCTGAGCTCTTCTTTAATTGCGAGCTATTTATACTAGGCAGCACCACAACTCAGCTGAGGAAGAGCCAGGCACATGTATAAGTTTTAGTCCCCTCAGATGCCCTGCAAGCATAGTACAGGGAGTGCAGAATTATTAGGCAAATGAATATTTTGTCCACATCATCCTCTTCATGCATGTTGTCTTACTCCAAGCTGTATAGGCTCGAAAGCCTACTACCAATTAAGCATATTAGGTGATGTGCATCTCTGTAATGAGAAGGGGTGTGGTCTAATGACATCAACACCCTATATCAGGTGTGCATAATTATTAGGCAACATCCTTTCCTTTGGCAAAATGGGTCAAAAGAAGGACTTGACAGGCTCAGAAAAGTCAAAAATAGTGAGATATCTTGCAGAGGGATGCAGCAGTCTCAAAATTGCAAAGCTTCTGAAGCGTGATCATCGAACAATCAAGCGTTTCATTCAAAATAGTCAACAGGGTCGCAAGAAGCGTGTGGAAAAACCAAGGCGCAAAATAACTGCCCATGAACTGAGAAAAGTCAAGCGTGCAGCTGCCAAGATGCCACTTGCCACCAGTTTGGCCATATTTCAGAGCTGCAACATCACTGGAGTGCCCAAAAGCACAAGGTGTGCAATACTCAGAGACATGGCCAAGGTAAGAAAGGCTGAAAGACGACCACCACTGAACAAGACACACAAGCTGAAACGTCAAGACTGGGCCAAGAAATATCTCAAGACTGGTTTTTCTAAGGTTTTATGGACTGATGAAATGAGAGTGAGTCTTGATGGGCCAGATGGATGGGCCCGTGGCTGGATTGGTAAAGGGCAGAGAGCTCCAGTCCCACTCAGACGCCAGCAAGGTGGAGGTGGAGTACTGGTTTGGGCTGGTATCATCAAAGATGAGCTTGTGGGGCCTTTTCGGGTTGAGGATGGAGTCAAGCTCAACTCCCAGTCCTACTGCCAGTTTCTGGAAGACACCTTCTTCAAGCAGTGGTACAGGAAGAAGTCTGCATCCTTCAAGAAAAACATGATTTTCATGCAGGACAATGCTCCATCACACGCGTCCAAGTACTCCACAGCGTGGCTGGCAAGAAAGGGTATAAAAGAAGAAAAACTAATGACATGGCCACCTTGTTCACCTGATCTGAACCCCATTGAGAACCTGTGGTCCATCATCAAATGTGAGATTTACAAGGAGGGAAAACAGTACACCTCTCTGAACAGTGTCTGGGAGGCTGTGGTTGCTGCTGCACGCAATGTTGATGGTGAACAGATCAAAACACTGACAGAATCCATGGATGGCAGGCTTTTGAGTGTCCTTGCAAAGAAAGGTGGCTATATTGGTCGCTGATTTGTTTTTGTTTTGTTTTTGAATGTCAGAAATGTATATTTGTGAATGTGGAGATGTTATATTGGTTTCACTGGTAAAAATAAATGATTGAAATGGGTATATATTTGTTTTTTGTTAAGTTGCCTAATAATTATGCACAGTAATAGTCACCTGCACACACAGATATCCCCCTAAAATAGCTAAAACTAAAAACAAACTAAAAACTACTTCCAAAAACATTCAGCTTTGATATTAATGAGTTTTTTGGGTTCATTGAGAACATGGTTGTTGTTCAATAATAAAATTATTCCTCAAAAATACAACTTGCCTAATAATTCTGCACTCCCTATAGGTAGGCCCGAAAGGATATAAAACTTGGCGGCAGATTGAGGACATGTTGTTATTACCTCTGAGCTTCAGTAGAAAAAAATGTGGATTTTCAAGTCAGCATAATTGTCTGTACTTGCCTTTAACTGACTCATATACTGAGATTCTTCTATGCAGGAGGCTCTCATGGGTGAGTGGGTGTTGTTTCCTAGAAATAAAAAAAAAAGATTTCTAGGAAAGGATAACATTCAATGAATACCAATGCCTTCCATCATGTATATTCTTGTTCATGCTCATATCTTTCAATGGGAGAGCTCCCAACTGTGTCTCTTCTTGTTTCTTTTGTTTTCAACTCCACTCAAAACATTTCCCAAATTTAACGAGGCCAAAGATCACGGGGCAGATGCAGCACAAAACTCAAAGGCAGATGTATTTCAAACTCAGCTCATTTGTCACCTCTGCAAATTGCATCAATGTTAAAGAGCTATGCTCTTATGTTGTCACCTCCATCACCTCCTTCTTACAGACATTGCAGTCGTGGATATGAGCGATGTGTGTCGGCAGCCCTCCTTGTTTTACCACCTGGGTGTGAGGGAGAGCTTTGACATGGCCAACAATGTCATCCTATACCATGACACCGACCCCGACACTGCCCAGTCACTGAAGGTACATATGCACACTCTCCCATCAGTGTAACTAGTGTTCATGGACACCATTCTTTTACGTCTCCTTGGGACAAAATGATCCGCTGTGTTATTTACAGACTAACATGTCGTACAGTCAGTCCTACCAGCTGTTTAAAATAGCAATTCAGGAATAATACACTATGTCACTGTCCGAAAGTCTGGAAACATATTCTCACGTGCTCTTTATCTCCGCACAGGACATGGTGGCACAGAAAAACACAGTAAGTTTCTTATGTGTGCATGTTTTGTAAAGATTTCTGTGTGCACACCATCTGTTTCTATTTCTAGAGGAATATTCCTGGCAGATACCGTTCACCCCCATGCAGAAATGCAGACAGGAATGCATATATATATATATATATATATATATAGACACACACTCTCACACACATTGTGTACAAGTACACACATGTTAAATCATGAATGGCCGGCTCGAGAACGAGAGTCATATTACTTGTTAGTTTTCCTAGAAACTGACCTTCACTGTATGTACGCTGTCTTCTTTGTGTATATGTGTGTTTGTGTGTGGAGTAGGCTGCTCGTCCTCCACCGTTAGGTTTTCCCTGGGTTCAGTTGCCTCCAGAATACAGAGGCTCTGGTCTGAGAAATAAAGTAGGTATCAGGCCTGCATCAAGGCATGCTGGGATATTCCCTAGTTGACTGATAATACTAACAGACAAGGAAGTGAGGCTGGAAAACAATGACCTCTCCCTGGGATGTCGTGTGGATAACAGATTAAAGCCCCTAACAACACAAAGGAAGCAATGGATAATCAGCTATAGCATGCTTTAAGAGTGCTGGATGCATGTGCGTTTTTGCACTAAATTAAATTTGCATCATCTCAGAAAGAATCATGGAATTGCATTTAATCCCACTGTGGGGAATTTACCTAAAAAGTGTTTGTGAAACAATCCTCACTGAATATAACTGAACAGAGTTTAACAGGAGAAACTTACAAGTGTAAATCAGAAGCAGCTAGTTGCTGTGGCCTAAAGTGCTGTTGTTCGATGCATGAAATCATGATGGTGACTGCTTTAAAATGATGTGTGGTGCTGTGACGACCATACTATATAACTACAAATCTAGTGATATAGTTGTTAAATAAAAGATGTAGAAATATATGTTTTAAGAATGAACACAACAAAAAGACAGTCAGCAGTGCGTGTAAGATTTGTCAGTCCTGAAATGCTTTGCCAAATGCTTTTGTACCTGCAAAGCTTATCATTTCAATTTCAGATTTAAAGGTAATCACATTTGTTCATATGCAAAGCTGGAAGAAGAGGCAGAGGTTAGAGAGTGTTAGGTGGTTCTTAGTACATGAGGCTTATTACTTCTGGAAACCTTCACTGATGTAGTATGATGCTACCAAACAGTCTCAGTGGTGCACTGATCCTCTCATTAATCACTCTAATCCCTACTCTCACCTCCTTATCTCTCTCCACCTGGACTTCTTTTACACCTGGCATTTGCACAAAGCTGTCAAAGTGCTTTTCTTTCTGTAAACAACTTGTAATTAAACCTTCTCTCCTCTCTTTCTAGGCATCCAGTGGTAACTACTACTTCATCCCCTACATAGTCACCCCTAACCACGAGTATATGTGCTGTGAAAGCGATGCCCAACGGAGGGCAAGCGAGTACATGCAGCCCAACTGGGATAACCTGCTGGGCCCACTGTGCGATCCCCTGACCGACCGCTTCACCAGCCTGCTGAAGGACATCCACGTAACATCCTGGTGAGATACAAGTGAAAACAAGGGGCTGCTGTAATCCCACTATCATGGTTTCCTAGTACAGACGCAGATGTAGACTGTAAAGTGCAACTATGTTTATTTTTGCTGTACTCACACAACCAACGTAACAGCTGTGTGTGCCTAAAAATCAAACCCTTCTTGTCTTTAGCTCAAAACACAGCCTCTGTGTGTGTGTGTGTGTGTGTGTGTTGCATCAAGTTCCCATTTCATAGGAAATCAGAGGTTGATTAGTCAATACTGTGCCAGTCAACCACCTAACAGTGCTTCATGTCCGCCCCACCTTCCCTTCTGGAGCTTGGCAGAAACAGCACCTCACAGTCATTTACAAGAAAAGCACCCCCCCCCCCCCCGCCCCCCACCCAAAAAACAAACAAACAAACTACTAAGTAAGGAGTAATATAGGCTTTCAGCTAAATGTGGTGCCATACTTAGTTATGAAATGTAGTAAAACGGAAGTGTAAAGTAATAACGTAAGACAGAATTTACAAAACACCATCTGAATAACATACTTAAGTATAGTATGTTATTACAGTACAATAAAAGTGCTTTAATTGGTGTGCTCTGGAAAGATAAATGTTAAATATATTGCAAAGTGTTGGAACATCAGCTTAATCTCAAATTAACTTAATATTTACTTTCAAAATGAGTCATTTGCTGTGTCAACACTGGTTAAATGAGTTGTCACTGGTAAATGTATCATCTTCATCTTAAAGCATGAACAAAAATAGCCTGTTCACAAGAAATATTAGGTTATAACAGAAATCTGTGTCAAAATTTCTACCTCCAATGTCGTGTGTAAGGGCACTGGTGTTATCTGCACACTCTGCACTGAAAATCAAGCAGATTTCATCCCTTCTGTATTACTGTGATTCATTCTTTGCTTGTTTAAGCAAAACCTGCTATGACGCCTCACACAATGTCTTCCGAGTACTTACGTCACACCCTAGCTGACTCAGCAGCACTGTCTCCCCATTAACTTCAGAGTCCATTTTAAGATTCTGGTTTTAACTTAAGGTGCTTCAAGCACCAGCTTACATCAGTGAACCTTTACATCCTTTTGTCTCCAGCACGTCCCTGAGGTCATCTGAGCAGGGCCTGCTAGCTGTGCATCATACAAGGCTAAAAGCTGAAGGAGACAGAGCTTTTCCAACAGTAACCCCCAGACTCTGAAAAGCTCCTTCTGAGCTTGTGATAGGTGGACTCTGTGTTTTATATCACAAAACAGCTAAAAACGAATCTTTTTAGACTTGTGTTTGGCTACCTTTTGTTTTTATCTTCTGGTATTTTGTCGTGAAGCATTTTGTGATGTTAGGTGCTTTAGAAATAAAATTAAAAAGGAGTTGGAGGTAATTATTCTAGGGATGTTCCATGCATTTGTTTTGCACAATGCAGTATTCCGACTGTAGGAGTCTATAGTGAGGATCATTGTTCATAGCTTTTTGTTAGTACTACCAACTGACTATTAGCACTCAATAGTAATCTCATCAAAACAGTAAGTAATGTCTGTTTGCTGCAAAATAAGGGTTGGTCCACTAGAGGTCAAAAATTGTTCTTTAGATCAACATTAAAATGAAAGCTTCTTTTCTTCCTCTGTTCCTTGTCTGTGTACATATAGTGCTTCCTTTAAGGACACCCTGCTCAACGACATCAGGAAGGCTAGGGAGAAGTACCAGGGAGAGGAGCTGGCTAAGGAGCTTTCACGCATTAAACTCCGAATTGATAACACAGAGGTCCTAACACAGGACATTGTCATGAACCTGCTGTTTTCCTACAGAGATATACAGGTACAAACACATCAAACATGACCTTCATTTCTTTCTATCAGCTGGGAACTTCTTAAAAGTTATTACAGACTGAAGTTCAGAATGACATTTATATTCTAAATGCATTATCATTAGGTTTAAATTTAATGCCCCTTTTGTGGCTTCTCTGACAACCAGGACTATGATGCCATGGTGAAACTGGTGCAGACTCTGGAGATGCTGCCAACATGTGATCTGGCTACCCAGCCCATGATCCAGTTTCATTACTCCTTTGCCCTGAACAGGTACGCAGCAGCTCAATGAAACTTAACATTTTAATGCCCAAACCCTGTGGTAAAGCAGATTTATCTTCTTTAATTATTTTTAGGGATCCCACATTTTTTGTTTTTTGTGCCTGTATTTCACTGAGGACATTCATTCTAACATATCATATAAAATGCACCATAAATATGCAGTGTGGTGATATCAGGAGCTAAAAATGTAGTAACTGCATGTCAAAAATGCAACAGACCACAAGTCTAGCATTCTGTGAAAAATAAATTTTTGTTGTTCAGGGAAAATTAAGTATACTGTATGATTTAACAACTTTAGCAGCAATAACTTGAAGTCTTCATTTTCTGTATGACGTTTTAGCCTTTCACAGCATTGTAGAGGGATTTTGGCTCAGCCTTCTTTTACATTTTCTTTAATGTTGCTTTTGTTCATTGAGGTTTACAGGCACTTGTTTATACACAGCTCTCTTAAGGTTCCCCCACAGTATTTCAGTCAGATTGGAGTCTGGACTTTTGCAACACCTCGATTGTTTTCTTTTTCAGCCATGCTGTTGTAAATTTTCTGCTGTGTTCAGGATTATTGCTCTGTTGCATAATCCTGCTTGAGCCAAGCTTTAGCTGTTGGAAGGTTACCTCACACTTACTCTAGAGTGATTTGGTATACAGAGAAGTTCATGGTCAAGTCAATGACTGCAAGGTGTCCAGGTCTTGAGGCTGCAAAGCAAGCCCACATCATCACCCCTCCACAACCATGCTGACAGTTGATATAAAGTCTTTATGTTGATATGCTGTCATTGGTTTTAACCAAACGTGGTGATGTCAAGTATGACCACATATCTACACTTTGCTTTTGTCTGTCCAAAGGATAATGTTCTGGTGGTCTTGCGGTTTGTTCAGATGGAACTTTCCAAACCTAAGCTGTCCTGCAGAGATACCTTCTCCAGGCAGCTTGTTCAGGCTTTCTCTCATTGTACTGTGATTAACTTTAACATTTAACATGCTAACCGAGGTGTTTAAAGTCTGTAGCTCTTGTTTTTTTGTTTGAAGTTTCTCTAAACATTACAAGATCTGATCATAGGGTGAAATTGCTAGAACAGCCACTCCTGTGTTAACACACACCCGAATACTCCAGGCCAGTAAACTGCCCAAACTGCTTTTGAGCAGGTAGTTAGGCTGATGATCAGTTATCAAGTGCATTTAATTAGCAACACCTGGCTGGTACTTGCACTTTTAATTCTTATGGAAGTAATAAAGGTGTACTTCTCAGTCTCATGAAAACGTTTTCCTTCATGTGCATGTGCATGTACGTGCAGGAGGAATGCTCCTGGAGACAGGGAGCAGGCTCTCAGAGTGATGCTGCAGGTGTTGCAGTCCTGCGAACATCCTGCACCAGACATGTTCTGCCTCTGTGGACGAATCTACAAGGACATTTTTCTCGACTCTGACTGCAAAGACACTAAAAACAGGGACAACGCCATTCAGTGGTGAGAACACACAGAAATAAATGCATCTTATTCACATCTTATTGTTTCCTTGTGTGTATTCATCTGTATTTCCTCTTCCACCTGTCAGGTACAGAAAGGGCTTTGAGCTGCAGCCCACTCTGTACTCGGGTATTAACCTAGCTGTCCTCCTCATAGTTGCTGGCCAGCAATTCGAGAGCTCCATGGAACTCAGAAAAATAGGTAACCTGATTCCCCCTTTGATTTGTTCTCAGCGGACTCTCAAGTCAATGTGAAACACCTAAGTTGTTTATTTTCAGCATTCAGTTTGCATTCAGTAGCTCCTTTTCTTGATATTTCTGTGGTACAAAAGTCAGCTGAGACCATGCCACTTCAGTTTCAATCAGACTGCAATTACAATGTTCACTTTTTGTCTTCTTATAATCAGGGGTGAGGTTGAACAGCCTGCTGGGGCGCAAGGGTTCCTTGGAAAAGATGAATAACTACTGGGACGTCGGCCAATTCTTCACCGTTAGCATGCTAGCGAGTGACATTCCTAAAGCTACTCAGGCTGCAGAGAAGCTCTTCAAGCTGAAGCCACCTGTTTGGTAAGAGAGAAGATCTTGTAAATATATAAAAGTTGCAATGTCAATGCATGTTTTTCATAATAAAGATTAGTTTTAAATTTTGGTCACATTCTGATCCCCAGGTCTCAATTTTTTAAAGATGTATTCAGCTTTCATAGTTGTAGTGAAGTATCAGGACATTCATCTTACAAAAGTACATTTGTTTTTATAATGCAACTCTTTTATTTAAGTAAGCCCAAACATGCTACAAAAAAAACAGTTTACGAAAACAAAATTTCAAGGAATTGTAAGTGTGATGCTTTTTATTTTAATGATTATAATTGGTTGTATTTTCTTCCAGGTATTTGCGTTCAGTAGTGCAGAACTTACAGCTGATCCAAAGGTTTAAAAAGCAAAATTTGGAGCATTCTCCTCAGAGAGAGAAACTCAACTTCTGGATGGACATCATCGTCGAGGCCACGCAGTGCACCACCAACAGACTGCGGTTTCCAGTATGTAAACATATACATGCATTCGTGCTGAAAAATGATGACTGAGGGGTTCAAAATCAAATGTTTTGGTGTTTGTGTTTACAGGTGCTGATTCTGGAGCCCACCAAAGTTTACCAGCCATCCTATGTGTCTATCAACAATGAGGCTGAAGAGAAGAACGTCTCCATCTGGCATGTTTCTCCTGCTGAAACGGTCAGAGCATTGCCCATCTAATCATCTTCCTGTTAGGAATATTGTCCTCCGCTCGGAAAAATTCTAAATATTAAATAAAAATTAATTAAAACTGGTGAATCACTTAAACTAAATCAGACAAATTGTATGCAAACAGAAGGAACTTTGATGTGAAATCTTCCATCACATATTGTGACTGAATAACACGTAATTACACAAACTCATTGCACCCTCATTTTGTCCAGTATTTTAATTGCACCCGAGTATACCAGGGTGAAGTACCACCAGTATTACCAGTAAACAACAAAAACCACCAAAATGCTATATCAGCATTTAAATTAGCCTACTTCTTGCCTTTTGTTTAACATGCAGTGCTACACAGATCACTGATCAAACACATTATAGTGAAACGAAGTTTGATAACACTTCACATTAATTGTAGTCAAACATCTCAAGACAGGTGAACATAATGCTGCTTCATTGATTTTTAATTTTTTTTGTAAGGAGTACATGGAGGTTTGGGCTCAGATAGTTTTGGGATTCAAGTTTTATTTTGCATCCATGTGGAGTCTGTTTAAAGATTGTTGACTCATCATTGTAGAAAAAAAAAGAAAAAGTGTGTTGCAGACACTTAAAGCTGAGCCAGCATTAACTAAATTTGCTTCACCTATGCTAATTCAGAATGCTAGAGGGCTGGAGCCGTCCAACTAAGTAGACAGAAACATATACATATATGCATATTTGTTCATTTACCTGCTAGAACCTACTGGAACAAAATGTTAGAGCTGAAACACTTTATTTGTTGATTGATTAACTTCTGTTTTTTTGTTACAGAAAGGTATTCATGAGTGGAACTTCACTGCAATGTCCATCAAAGGCATTAGGTATACAAGAGACATGTTTGGGAAACAAATAGAAATAAATAGAAAACGTACATTTTTGTTCAATTCAAATTTCTCTTGTGGTTTTATGGGCCTGGGCTGCAATTGTAGTAACTCAGGGAACTCAGGAGTGGTGCAAACAAGCATATAAATTGTGGCTCCCTGCAGCTATATCCATAATACATGAAGTAAACAGAAGAACTAGCTGCCAGGAACATCATTAGGGATCTCCAGCTGACCTGTTCAGCCTCAATATTCAAAACAGTGACGTATTGTGCAAAGCTTCAATTACTCAGTGCAACCGGAGGAGGAAGAAAGAAAAAAATGCAAATATCAGTAAGGATATTCCTCGTGTTTAATGGCCAGTGATTACTGTGAAAAAACCCCATCACCCATGCTCTTAAATACAATTTGACGATCCAGGTAAAAGTCTGGCTATAGAATAAAACAACTTTTTTTCGTGTTAGAATACAATCCCTCAACACAATTTGATTGTCTGCTCTCCTGCTTACTAATCTAAATTATTCATTTATATCCATGTATTATTATTATACTGTGAGCAAATGTAAGTTTTTTGCACGCTAATGAGATTTACTTTCATCTGTGAAAAGGATTGTGTTATAAAATACAGCATAAGGAAGAGTTAAATAAAATAAAGAACAGTGCCCAGCCTAATGCGGCCCTTCTGTCTGCAGTATCAGTAAGTTCGATGAGCGTTGCTGCTTCCTCTACGTCCACGATAACTCGGATGACTTCCAGATCTATTTCTCTACTGAGGAGCAGTGCGGTCGGTGAGGACAAACACCTCTAGATGTGTTTGTGTAGGTGTGTGTTTGTCAAGTGTCCGTCCGTGTTTGTGTTTGTACACTTCATACTATATGTGCAGATGTGATCTGAAGGCCTAGAACTGTAAATAACTGTAATAATGTCTGTGTCTGGTTATGTGTTTCAGGTTCTGCTCCATGGTAAAAGAGATGATATCTGATGGTACTGGGAATGCTGTGGAGCTGGAGGGGGAGGGTGATGGAGATACGCTAGAGGTCAGTGTGAGCTTGAAAGTGTGCTAACACACACAC